CAGTACCCATATGCGATGAGTCGGGAAACCATTTGACGCAGCTGAGCATAGAGGAGAGACATAGAAGGTTCAAAAAGGACCTAGAAATCTTTGAGGTTGGTGGCCCATAGTAGAAAACACACTAACCCTGCATGAAAAATCATTCAAAAATGGGTCGACCTGGGTATCGATGTCAATAAAATCATTGCAAACACTGGACGGCTTCGTTTTTGTTACTTTGGCATAAACATACATAAACTGATCTTGTTTGTCTAGAAGCAGGGTCAATTGATGGAAATCATGCCAGTTTCCCACTAGACGGATAGACCATGATAGACCCATACCGTATGTTTCTGGTAGTCGTTGATGTTTGACATCTGCATAAGCCCATTGAATGGTAATAGTAATAGGCTAATAGGAGTAATGGGATTAGTAATGGGATTGGTAGTGGGATTGGTACCAGTAATGGGATTTTTCTTTGGTTAACACCAAGCTGCATGTTGAAAGCAAAGTTCCGCAGCCCCTCTGCAGCACCGCCCAAGAGTGCCACGGCGGCAACAGCCAGACAGCGTGGCAACAGCAGTTGGCCACGGCCCTGTGCTCCGGCGAGATCCAGTTCTGAGGGAAACCCATTCGGAAAAGGATCATTCAGGGTGGGTTTTCCACAATGTTAGTTGACATTGGGGTATGAAGATCAAACTATCTGATCATACAACTATCTACCCTTGGTACATCTTGGTACACTAGATCATTCAACTATCCACTCTTGGTTGGGATATCCTTACTGCCGTTGGTGGATATTGTGTGGGGCTGGTACAACACCAGAACCAATCATCAACCAACAAAAGAATATCATATGTGGTCATATATCCCCACTATATATCCCCATGAAATGAAAAATCATCATCAGCTAACCATGCTTCATCGCTTATAACCATAAACTATTTCCATACGTGTATATATATATATATTTGTATATATCAACCCTGGAGCCATATATATATTATATTATATATATATACAGTTTATAGATAGATATATCCCGATAATATGTTCTTATGTTTTTGTGCTTACCCTCTGGTAAACTAGCATAGCGAAGTGGAAAATCACCATTTTTAATGGGTAAATCAACGATGTCTGCCATGTTCAAAAGCTACCACGGCGACCCGCCAGGTGACTTGCACTGCTGCGAAGAGTGCCGCAGCCGCCAGGGGCGGCGATGCCAACTCAGCACAGGAGGACAGCAGGAGGCCTCAGGAGATGGCCATTTCAGGTATAGTCCGTATAGTAATCAACATGTAATAAAAAGGATTAAAAAAAGGTATCTAGAATATATAATTTCATATAGTCACCAACTATAATAAAATCAACTATCATGGAAGATAGATAATAATGATTGATATTCATGGATATTTTTCTGGAGGTGTTTAATGTTTCGGGAGAAGGGATATCATGGCTATGTTGCACAAGAAATTGGGGGTTAACTTGATTTAACCAAGGACAAATGATAGAATTGTACAATGGGGATAATAGTGGCTATTTAACGAGGATATCGCGGGGATATAACCAAAAAAAACATGATTTGGGCATGTCTGAAAATCTGATATGAACCCCGAAATTTATGCCAAGTTGAAGCGGGAAACCAGGCGATAAATCGCGCTGGTTTAATGGCGATTAAACCTATTACTTGTCGGGATATTTCATGGAAGATAAACAACCATATATATCATATATGTTGAGATTGGTTTGGTTTGAATCATTTTAAAGGAAACAATATTCTTGTACCACAACACCGGAAAGGGTTCCGCTTTGAGTTGTCACGTGATCTGTCCCTAAAGAAGATAGACGCCAATATGCCCCGGGGCCACACTGTTCAGCCATGACTTTTCTATCTTTATGAAGATTGCAACGATTGCTATATCATGCTATATCTATAGATCATGTCCCTTGTTCAAGTTGATTTTAACATATTTTAACTAATGTAGTCGCGGTTGGCCACTCAGAAACCATCAGAATCCCAACTGCTCAGTATGAACAAGTCATCAGCTCCGGATCTGGGGTCACTGCCAGCACTTCCCAACGCCAGCCAAACATAATCGATACCTCCACAACAAGAATCACTGACGGTGGACCCAAACTTTACCCAAAAATTCACCTGGTGGTCCAGTCTTGAGGGAAACCAAAGGACTGGTTGCTTTTGGACATGTCATGACGCATATTGATGGATCTTTTTCTCAAAACAGAGGTGCCTGTTCTTTGACACATCTTTTGACTCGAGATGTGCGCCTCGCAGTAAACGCAGAAGTTGACCTACAAGCTGTGCACGACTTTGGTGCCTCTCCTGCGTGGCCCGTAGCCCCTTGCTACAGTCGATTGGGGTCGGAAAACAGGGGGAAACCTCAACAGAAATTCGATCCCGAAAAAATGGGATCCAGCATTTCGATGCATTTCGGATAGCCATTTTGGATACGAAAAAGATGTGCCAAAAAAATGAAGGAACCGAACTCCTAGGCCCCAAAGTCCTCTTGTAAGCGATGCTTTGCACCCACTCCTCACAGGTGCGTGGGAGCCACTACAAGTAGGAGATTTCCAGCTTAAAACCAACAGGGGCTGAAAGAGCACAACTGGTGCCTGCAGCACAGAGGGCCGCACTTTGCTGCCAGCAACCTGACCTCCTGCCATGGTCAAAACTCGGTGTAATCTGTCTTGGTGACGTTTGAATGTTACAATATGTTACAGCTACCGGGAACAATACAGCGAATCTAACGAAGAAGATTGGGAATATCAAATTTGGCATCTGCGATCTGTGATTGGAGAATCTCAATGTTCGGCATGGCGCATTTTATTCCACATGTTCCACAAATAAGTGTTGAACAGCCTGACTCCACTTATCTCCTTTGTAACGGAAAAACTGACGCTGCCGTTCGTCCAGAAGATAGAAAGAAAGGAATGACGATGATGCTTTTTCAGCTGAGGATGATCAACGATGATCGTGATCACGATGATAGATTTCTGATGATAAAAGCTGTTCAATCATTGTATAACCCATGACGGATCCATGGTGCTGCCATATATGGTAACATGGATCCCATCAATATACCCCCTTTATGTTAGCATATATACCAGCACCATGGATCCTACGGGTAATGATGAGAATGGGAAGGTATCTAAGTCTAAGCCCCCACAGAAACCTCCGGTGCTAGCCTCCGGTGCAACGGCACCGGAGATTGGGGAGCTCGAAAGCGCGGCAGGGAAACACCTGCGGCATTTTTGGGGATTCCCATCATGGGTCATAAGAATCCCCAATGTTTATATCAACTATAGTTATTATAAATGATGACTTGGTTTATTATCAAATCTGACTATGGTTAGTTATAATGACTAGGGTAGTTATAATAACTATAATATCGACTATAATAACCTATAATAAATCATGACTTGGTAGTATATATATATATATCCCTATAATAAACTTGGTAGTTTTTTTGGTCACTGCTCCCATGAGTTCGGATGGGGATTCATCCATTCACGGGGAAGCCCTCCGTTGATTAAAAAAAAAAGCCAAGCAGTGAGAAAAGGACATACAGTATATGATTCAAATGGAAAATGGGAATTTACTGCTTGGCAAATGGTATGGATGGGCTTGGAAATTGGATGAAATTGGTATATAGAATGTGTTCACATGATAGATAACCATCTTGGAATTGGTATATATACCATCTATGAAATTGGATGAAAACCATCTATGAAATTGGTATAAAAATAACTATAAAATTCCATAGATGGTTTTCTGCAGGGATGGCACCCAATTGATGTTCATCCAAAGATGTGATGAATTCTCAGGATGCTGGATGGGCTTTCCCAAAAAATCGGACTAAGCCAACATCCAGCCACCAAAGAAAGTTTTCTGTCCATACACCTTGGAGATCTTCCAAAAAAAAAAGCCATCTCCGCCGAATGACAAGGTAGGCTTTATAAATCCTCCCTAATAATGCCTAACGGTTATCATGGGTTATTAATCCATCTAAATCCCGGGATAACCATGGAATAGGCCTCATCCAGCCAGCAAAATTTTGGGAGTCAGGTCTTCTTCTTCACCCAGTCACACCTTGCACTGCCTTTGAGGAACACAGCAACGGTACATTTGGGGCGTTCAGTGTCATGGGCTCATGAGAATGGTTGGTGCTTGAGTCACCTATCCTTCCATATGGAGCCGAGGTCAGATATCCACAAAATATTGAATGGAAAAGTTAACGAATATCTGCGTGTGTGAAAATATGGTAGCCTTGTATCATCTTATATCCACTACTTACTCATCATGGTATACCCCATGTTGAGACAGGCTCATCTCATAATAGCAGATACAAAACATCTCAGGAATTCCAGGCTGATTCTTCCATTTATTCCCATGTGTCATGGTTTCATGAGCCCAAGTGGCTGCACCAAGATCTTGTTTGAAGCGATGACACTGTCCTTTGGTTTAGAGTTTAGGGAACATGTTATAGGAAACCAATAGATTTGACCGCCAAATATGGAGGTTTCCTGTAGATTTTCCCTTCAACGAACTCTTGGACTTCTGCCTTTGCCCCGACATTCCAACCGCTGACGAGCACTCAGTTCGTTTTCCGCTCGCCACTCAAAAGTTGGACGTGGAAAGAGTGAAACGCAGCGACGCATCCTGCCACACCAGGCTGTTGCCAGGCTGTAGCAGATAATTACCCGGCCGTGCCATATCAATCCATACCATATCAATCCATATCATACCAGCGGAGCATCTATCATGATGCGAATCATTGCACATGACTCGTGGTTCACATCGGACATCTCTCTTCAGGATCCGTCACCGCTATGGTGAAACAACTCCCTCTGCTGTGCAACTAACTGGCAAATGGATTGTTTGCGCATAATGATGACAGTTTTAGAAACAGCCAAGGCCTGAATAGGGCCGATGTTTCATTTTGGTTTGTTCATTGTTCGAATCAAAATACACCTTGAAAAAGCACATCAATGATGATGCTCAAAAGTAGGGAGCATAACAGATTTTACCCTCTGGTTATGTCAAAATAGCTATTGAAAATGGTGATTCATAGTGGATTTACCCATTAAAAATGGTGCGCTTACCGTGTTTCACTGTTTGCCAAATGCTGCCGGTCAAGCTCTCGACCTAACGAAGCAGCACAGCGGCGAAGTTGAAGCACGTTCGAACGCAAGTGCGAGTTGCAAGTTATGTGTAGCTGAAATAACATGGTTTAACCATCATTCAATGGAAATATGTGGATATCTATATTATGTATATATATATATATATATTATACATATATATATATATATAATACATATATATATAATACATATATATATATATAATACATATATATATATATATAATGACAATCATCATAGTTAATCCGCCTTAAATCTGACATCTAACAATGGGCATAACTTTTTTGGGATTCAATTAAGGGATATTTCCACGTTAAGAATTGGTATTAACATGTTTAAACGTGCGAGTATAAATATATTAAATACACCCCCATGACATAGGCCAGGAAAATGAATAGAGTGCTAAAACATGGTTCCAAAAAAGTATGTATTTTTGGGGAAAATGCCCTGATCTTTGCCTTGGTTATCTAGCCTCAGATACCCCATTGATGAATGTATCTACCTACATGTATATGTAGACATATACAATTGTATGCACGGATATGTAGATATATAATGATATATTCTATAATGCTACATACGATATATGTGTATATATGTATACTATATTATATATATATGTCTTATATTATAGATATAGCATATATATATATATATATGTCATATATATATATCATATATATATATATGCAGACATAGAATTGAAGACATGCACGTTGGACATTTGTAGAATCCATTCCTTCCGCACCTCAGGCACCTCCTACTTTGAGCACTGCAGGACCATAGATCCTGCACCAACACACCAAGGACGCACCGTTTGGATGGGCGACCTGTTGAGTCTTAAGTTCTTATCTTACCGTTTATGTATAAGACTTATAGGGATATAACCATTGGGATATATGTATATGCTATAAGTCTATTATCTATAGGGATATAACCATTGTATATTGTGTATATGATGGGGATATATGTATATATGTATAATATGGGGATAACACCATATAACACAATATCATGGGGATATATGTATATTGTGTTGTTATTGTGATCTTATCATCAAAAAAATATCAAAGCCACCAATGCCCCGGAAACCCATGGTTTTTGGCGCATGTTCTCGTGTCCTCAGATTGCCTTCCTCATCCATCTCACCGAACTTTCGCAGAACCTGGGAAATTGGCCCAGGGGAAAACTCATGGGTGGCACACTGATGAATCATCAGTTTCCCCAAGACATTGTTGGTAAATCCGCCATTTCTGAACACGTTCAAATCGATTGTTAATTAGTTCGAAAAATCTAATATATATATAATATTATATAATATAATATATATAATATATAATATGTAATATATATAATATAATATGTAATACATATATATATAATATATAATATGTAATATATAATATATAATATATAATATATAATATATAATATATGATATATAATATATAATATATAATATATAATATAATATAATATATATATAATATAATATATGATATATTATATATTATATAATATATATAATATGATATATATAATATAATATATATAATATCATAATATATATATACCCTCGCAATATCCGCATAAAATGGGCTAAGTCCCAAGTCTTCCAGCTGTCTTCCCACCAACCAAGGCGTTTTTGCACTACGATCCCAACAGTCACCAGTTCATGGTCTACGATGTCAAGGCCCAGGTGTACTGCCAACCTGGAACGGCTTCCAAGGGTGATTTATGGCTGATTTATGGTGAATGTTGTGGCGGATATCGACCCAAAAAACCAACCATAAATTGAAAAAAATGGTTGGATAGAATTATGGGGGATATCCATACTTGTTAGATCTCCATCAAAAAGTGGAAATGTGAACCAAGAATAATCCAATCAATGGATTGAATGGTTTTTTTTTCAGTAATGAAAGGTGTTCCTGTGCATTTTCCCTCAAACCAGTCCTGGGACTGATGAAACCTTGAGATCAGCCAATATTTCTGAACTCTATGAACCATTATTGTTTGAGAGGTGAACATTGATTTACCAACTGAGTTTTGGTGTGAACACCAGGATGCCAAGGGTTTGAGGGACCACGGCCAAGGTGTGCAAGATTGTAGCTTCCAATAATGGTACAATAAAAACCTTCCAAGAATTGCTATCAAAACAGACCACACAAGTTTGGTATATCAATGCCATGAATGGACATTACCCTTGATACCCTCTGGTAAACTAACATAACTATGGTAAATCACCATTGTTAATGGGAAAACTCACTATAAATGGCCATTTTCACTAGCAAACTGTTAGTTTACCAGAGGGTAACCATTCAACAAGGACTTTGGCCACTGCTCAATGTGGCGATTCTTTCGAGCCGAGGCACTCTTTCAGCCGATCGGGGTCGATACCCTCCTCGGCTAGCATGGGCTGCTCAGCTGACGGCGACTTTCCTTTTAAAAAATCTCACCCCACCTGGGAATGGAAAAATCCTCCAGGTGCGGCCTGAACGAATCCTTCCAAATGATATGTGTCTTCCACCCGAAATCCATGGAAATCCACAAATTAAATTGGATGGTAAAACAATGGAACAAACTGGAGGATTCTCATAGATGTTCCCTTCGAAAATCACCAAAGAAAACCTCCTGGAGCTGACCTGAGGCGCCCGACTGGGTCCTGCATTTCTGGTTCACCTTTCAGTGCAGCCAGCTTGCGGCAGCAGGCAACCGGATCCGCCTTGCGGTGTTGCTGGGAACGGGGGCAAAATGGTGGGATAGAGCAACCCAACAGTTAAGGATGGAAAAGTGAATTCATAGCAGTAGTAATTTTGTACGGCATCAACAACCCAAGGATGGCTGACTTCCTACTGGGACAGCTTCTTGTGGGTCCAATCAGTCTGTGCTGACATCCCCAAGCCATGGATATGTATATATATATGTATGTATGTATGTACGTACGTACGTATGTATGTATGTATGCATGCATGTATGTATGTATGTATGTACGTACGTATGTATGTATGCATGTATGTATGCGTGTATGTATGCGTGTATGTATGCGTGTATGTATGCATGTATGTATGTTGTATGTTGTATGTTGTATGTATGTATGTCTGTATGTATGTATGTATGCATGCATGCATGCATGCATGCATGTCTGTCTGTCTGTCTGTCTGTCTGTCTGTATGTATGTATGTATGTATGTATGTATGTATGTATGTATGTATGTATGTATGTATGTATAATGTGTGTATGTGTGTCTGTCTGTCTGTCTGTCTGTATGTCTGTATGTCTGTATCTGTCTGTATGTCTGTATGTATGTATGTATGTCTGTATGTCTGTATGTCTGTATGTCTGTATGTCTGTATGTCTGTATGTATGTATGTATGTATGTATGTATGTATGTATGTATGTATGTATGTATGTATGTATGTATATATATATATATCACCATAAACTTCTTGATAAGCCCCGTTGTCAACTTGGATGTGCCTAAGGAACCCCCCTCCGAAAAAGTGTCCCCTGTAGATTCCCTAAGTGGATTCCCCTTTGGGAAAATCTAGGTGTCAAGTACCTTAGATATCGATCTCTCATATTGTGATACATCCCATGAAAAATATTCCCATGAAATATCTCCATACTCTTGGTAAGAATTACCATGAATATTGAAATATTCCCATTTTTCCTCACCATCTGGATCCATACACCCCTTGTAATCAGCTTAAACAGTGATATAATCACCATCTAATTCCCATTCGGCCGGTCATATTCTGAAAAAATCACCATTCAAAGTCATACATATATATATATATAATCACCATATAATCACCATATAATCACCATATAATCACCATATTCCCCGGCCGAACTTCGCCAAGGCACATAGGGGAACTCCCGCGGCCGCGCTTCTAAGAAGCGCAGGCAACGCTCATCGGCCCGGATGATGTGGAGAGGCTGCCCCGCGATGGTGACCGTGGTGCCTGCGGCCGAAAAATGGGGTGAAAGCCATGGGAATACGCCGAAAACCCATGGGTTTTTATGGATGGAAAATGGGAAAAACCATGGATAAAATACTGATAGTTAATGGATGTTAATGGGATATCTCTGACAATCGATCAATGAATGTATCTGGATAACTCATATGTTCTATCTTTGGGGGGTTACCCCTCAATGAGAAGGATTTAAGAATGGGATATGTCTGACAATCGATTGATTCATGGGGCTATCATATTGATAAATGGGATATGACACTGAACCATGTATAGGGATATTTGATATGACATAATGGGGTCTAAGCAACAATTGAACAATGGTGGTTTCTGAAACGAGGGACCCAAAGTCAAATTATTGATCGCTAAAAAATTGGGAAACAAGTGATGACACGCAGTACCCCAATTTTGAGACACAGTGGGCGGCTGGGAGGATTGAAGTCGGGCTAAGAATCCTGTTGAGACTCAACCTTTTTGGAACTTTCAGATTCCAAGTGATGGTGGTAAGGATCTAAAACCATCTGAACCCAGTGGAAGGGGACATCACTTTCTTTCCTGGCGATTCATTTTGGATGAGTCAAACTTGGATTGTAGGTATCAGTTGGTTACAACTGAGGTAAACTCAATAGTAAACCATCGCCGATTTATTGTTGGTGGTGACATTCCCACAACAATCACTGCTGACCACTACCGATAATCTGTGGAACCCTGAAACTCCCACAGTTTTTGTGGAAGATCACCCGCGCCATAACTACCACCCATCAACAGGTGAAATAACCTTCGGTAGTGGAAAAAAAAAAAAACTAAGATCCACTGCAAAAGGTTATTTTCAATTTATTACTTCAAGTTTATGATGCCCAACTTCACTGATGGATGATGTTCCCTCCGTGAATTTAACGTAGCCAATGAGAAACGGCACCATTTGTAGATGCTTTACATCATAGAAATGGTGATTGTCCATCGCAAAGTCTCAACCTCAACAAGGGTTCCGAAGTTTGCTCCCATTCGCTGAGACCCTGACCCACCACCAAGTCCGAAAGCTTAAAGTTCTTGCCCGTGGCAGGGTTCTTCATGCCTTCAGGCGCTGTTATCCATGTGTTGCACAAATGCTGGTCAAAACTAGATGAATTATGTTGTTGTTATTGTGTGGTTATGGAATTTGTACCAGGGATCGTATAAAGTGTGACTATTGTAACATTATACATATATATATATGATAACAATGATAATAACATATATATATATATATAGTAAGAATATCCGGAAATAACACGTATAGTTGGATATTGCTCAAAATTGCTCAAAACCATGTAATTTCCCATTGATTTAGTGGCCATCATTTTCAGACACGCCTGTATATCCGATCAAATAGCTGCATATAACCACATGAACGGTTGGTTTAACCCCATTCATCTCCATCAACATCCACTAATTAATATCCTGTATTGTTGGCTTTGTATATATATATATATATATATCCCGTTCTATCTCTATTCTATCTCCAGTCTATCCCCATGTATCCCCATTACAATTATCCCCATGTTTGGTTAAACCAGCCATACTTGCCCCATGACCATGGATCCACTCACCCAGCCAGTCTCAAGTCTAAAACCGAAGCTACGTCGCTTGTCTGCAAACCTCGGCGTGTCGGTGAAGTCACCGTTTCCAGCCGGTCCGGTCATCAAACGTGGCTGGGAAATGCTGGGGAAATCATCAAACTATCGCTGGGGGATTTCCACGGTTGATGACAACAGTCGAGGGTACCCTGAGGGAACATGACGCGAGTCGAAATGGAGAATGGTGGTGTTTACCATTGATCCAATGGATCGAATGGGTTTTTTTTAGGCCCAAGCTCTGGTTTTTTGCGTATCCTGCAGATCTTCCCTTCAACTAATTCTATGAATCACTCAAAGTGGTCTCAAGTTGTCTCAAGTGCAGATGTGTTTTTCTCTGACAAATGCCGAAGCCAACGGGATTTCCACAGAGTGGACCTCGTGTTTACTATTCTCAACTGGTTGTTGAAGCTGTTGCTTAAAGGGATTGTATCACCATTACATCACCATTACATCCATCCGCCCCAAGATCACCATTGTATACCAGATACATCCAGATACCCAATTACTTCCTTTTTTGCCATCAATTTACCCATCGCAGATGATTCTTGGTATTTCTTGGTCAAAATCCAGTCAAAATCCCGTGAAATCCAAGGATTTCCCACATGGTTTTTCCCGAAAAAAATCCTGAGCTGCGGCACTTGCCCGTCCAATGGCCGCCTCGGGGAATTCGATGGTTGGATTACCTATTAACAGGTATAGATGTTGATACAATTTGATACATAGGTTATAAATATATGGTAATTACCTAATCAACATCTATAGCTATTGGTTGGATTAGCATCTATTTATCAACATCTATGTATCAACATCCATCTATTTATCAACATAGCTATCAACAGTAGATGGTTAGATGAATAGTATTAAACATAAACCAGCCATCTATTGTTCAGAAAACCTAATAGTTGGTTTATCTATTGTTGATATAATATACCTATTGTTTATGACCTAGTGTTCATTTAGAAACCAACTAATATAGCCAGCTATTGTTTAATCAACATTTATAGATGGTTTACCTATTAAAATGGCCATTTCAGGAACCTAAATGGGAGGTACCTACCATATATAAGGCCTATTGTTTAGGCCTATGTAAGGGAATAGCACCACAAAATATGGCCTGAAAAATGGTACGGTACCTCCATTTTAGGATCCTGACATTCCCATTGACCTATTAAAATGGTGATTGTCCATAGCTATGTTAGTTTATATTAGTTTATCAAAGGGTATACATGATAAAATATTATAGAATTATAGATCATTGTAGATCATTGTAGATCGTTGTAGGCATTGCAGATATTCCGAAAACGGCCATTGATTTCTTTTAGTCTCATAGTCACTGTAGTCAGGTGTCGCTTTCGAAATTTCCGCAACGGTGCTTTCCCGGGCACTATCTGGTATGCACATGTATGCACCCCATCAATCTCATTAACCATCATTAACCCATGATATCCCTGTAGAACACTGTAGAACCCTAATGGCCCAATGGTTTTTCTTCAACCTCCATATGTTTGGGGCGCGATCATCGCCCGCCCTGTGGATCCTGTGGCTGAGCTGGTGGCTGTTTCGTACCGGGATTTCAAAGACTGCCACCTGGAAAAACAGCTGGCTGCCAGGTGGGTGGGGTGGCTGACACCCTGAAGCCAAAACCAGCAAAAGATCTGGCTTTGATGTGATTTTAGTGGGATCAGAATCGGATTATACTGATCTCCAAGGTCTTGGGTGTTTCTGTTGCAAGATTTGTGAATATGAAAGTTGCTAGGTTTGTTACAAGATGTGTTTATGAAGTTGGGCGCAGAATTGCTTGGTTTGTGATTGGGTTTTCCACGTTGGTGACGTGCTCGAGAACCGCTCAACCCAACACGAAAGTAAATCTCCATCAAACAGTAGAGACCGTTAAGGTTGACACCCAGCCCGCAAATCCACAAAATTATATATATATATGCTTCATTCGTGGATTTGAAACATTGGTATATAACATGGAAGTACTATAACCATCTAAAAGCATGCCCCGTTTCCGCAGTATTTTTTAGCCAGGTGAACGGGACGACGGAATCAGGGACCTACGATCACCCCCAGAAGCGCACGGCACGCGCACAGCACGGCCTCATCATCATGGGGGTAGTAGGCTATCACCTGACAAGCTTCCCGCGTCGTGGATTCCCGGTGGGAAGATACTGAGAGGATAGAATCTCCAGTAATTTAACTAATGTTTAACCTCAGCAGTTGTATTCTGTACAAAATGGGTGTTTTTAGTTGTTGTGCTTGATTGCCAGACGATAGATCCCCCATTTTTTCTTGCCCCATTTTTCTTTGCGAATTCCCAATTTGTTGTCGCTGGATTCAGCATGTTTTCTTTGTGAAATCCTTTAATCGACAAATGTTTGCCTAATTCTTCAGTGTGAAATGACACAACAAATACCAAGTTCATAGAATGTTCATAGATTGTATGTAAATCCATCCGAAAAATACAAAAAAAATACAACCCACTTGGATTCCCCCAGGAAAACTTGCCATTCCCATCGTGGATTTTCCCAGGAAACCGCGCCAGCACGCGCATCTCATCCTCCGCCAGGCCATTCGCCATCTTAGCTTCGAATCTTAAGACCTGGAGGGCACGGCAACGCGAAAAAATTGCACTTTGAACAGGTTGAAGAGCCAAAATGGGGGCTTAAGCAACGAAAATGTTGCACGATTTTGATGTGGCGTTAAAAACGGCAACTCTAAGCAATGGGCATGAGAGATTTGACCAACAAATCAAGGTATTCTGAGAAGAAAACATCATACCAGCGGTTACCAGCATTTGCCAACAACAATGAGGACTAAAACAATTGACATGTTGATGTTCACACAGAAAACAGGTGCTTTAAACGTACCATTCAGATGGCCGGTGTTCCGCCTCGCCCGTGTAGACCATGAGTTTTTCCAGGTCTACCTTCGGTGCCTGCAGCTTCCAGTTGCACGCCCAAATGGATCCGCGGGGGGAACATCTATGGAAAATCATAGATTTTTTTTGATGTATCGATACATCTATGGAAATATACATGTGTATAGATACATAAATAATCTGGATGGATATACATAAATGAGTATAGACATGATATATGAATCAATACAGAAAATATTGCTGTTTAGGATGTTTTAGGATACTCAAATAATGTGAAATGAAGTTGGAAGAAATTCTATTGCCTTTGGATACCTTTGGTATCTTCATGTAGTTGACTTGGCAAAGCCACATTTCAAATTCATGTCAATTACAGCCCTGAGAGAACGGTGTGCCAAAAAATGCCCCGCACAACACAAGATCTTTCAGTTTCGTGGAGGTTTCAATTTGGGACATTTGGACATCAAGTCAAACATCAAGGATGAATCAACTGAATCAACCGTGAATCACCAAAAAAGAGATCCCACCTTCACGTTGATCATCTGGGTTGAAATCAAACTGTCCTCCTCTTTGCCCACTCCATTGTGAGGTGGTGGAGTCAGCCTCAATAAATCCATCGGCAAAAAAGGATCCACATGTTAAACACGCTAAATCATAGGGATTTTCCCGCAGATGTTCCCTTTAGTCCCTTCAAGCAATAGTGGGAATGCAGAGAGATAGAACTTGAGATGTAAAAACCCATTTAGTGGATTTTCCCGTTGAAAAATTGTGATTTTCCATAGTTTTTTGTATGTTTACCAGAGGGTAAAAACAATCAACAAGCCCCAACCATCCGTTTTGCCGATCAACTGACCAGGCTGGCCTTGGCGACCAGACTGGTTGGCCCCTATGGTTTTACCATACACAAAAGCATGTGGATATATATATATACATATATATATATGTGTATGTATGTATGATGTGTTTTTTTAAATACCTTATACATATATCATAGCATATCATATGATATCATATGATATCATGTAAAACAAATGAAACCGTAAATGTACAACAACCTTGCAACCCAATAATTCGGGGGTTCCTAAAAAGGGGAAACCCAAGTCACCATGGTTGTTTCAATAGCGCGCCGGCGAGGGGCTTGAGATGTGTCACCGGCTTTTCAGAGACATCCAAGCGATTTTGCCGCTGGTCTAGGTCGAGATATTCCTGCGGAAATCCCCATGTGTGGATATGCCCCAGAAGTGGGGATGTACTCCAAGTCACCATGAGTTTGAAGATGTTGAAAAATGTGTTGAAAAATACTAAGATTTTAGGAAACACAAAAGAATAGATATACCATGATATTCCGATATCTGGAGCTGAAAATCTGCAAGTCTTATGTTCAAGGGGAAATTCATCTTCCAGGGGGTCATTGTCCACTGTCTTGGTCGTTTCAAGTTAAGTACAATAGTTGTTCAAGGATTTTATTGATAATTCCTCACAATATCTAACACTCTCCGGACGTCCAACGATACTAATACCATTCTTTGGCGAATACGAATAGGGTTTATCAGCCAATTTTTTGCGCACGTTAAAAAAACCAAGAATTGTAACAAGACGTTAAAACATCAACGACAGAAAAACTGAGATATTTTTCAGAGGTATTGTAAAAACAGCATGGCGAAAGCAAATTTCCCTCTGGATTCCATAGATCGAATCCCCCTGAAGATTGGCCATTTTGGCAGTCCAGCCATTTCGCCTTGTAGAACTTCTGGGTGAAAGCGTCGCAGTCAAACAGAACCACCTGACGATGCAACGCTAAACGCTGATCCAAAGCATGGTGCCAAATCAAATGGGGAACAGCACCCATCTTTGAATCCTTTGGGAGATAGAACTTACAATAATATAACTGATATAATCAAAATATGTATTTTTTTTCTTCAAATAAGCCCTTGGTTTAAACTTCTTTCCACATTAAAATCCCCATGTTTGTTGCTTGCCACGAATACTATTGCGGGCCTTGCGTCCCCAAACGTCGATGGAGTCTCCCACCCGAAGATCCTACGCGGCAGAGCCTTCTGAGAGAAAAAAACAATTTTAAAAAATGGAATGAAAAATGCGGATATGGGCATTAATGATTTGATGGGAGTTTCTAAACCAACCATTTAAGGGGTTATATTATATGTCGATATATGATATTAATTGATACTATAGAATGGTATATTAGTATATAATTTGATCTGATGGGATATTGGGATATACAAGGGGTGCGTCTACTACTCGCATGGGACGAACAGGTGGATTTTTGACCAGTGGAACCATTGGAGAAACACACCATTCTATGGGGATGAAATGTGGATATAATAGAATATATATATATATTATCTATATGTATAACTATAAGCATCTATAAGCATCTATAAGCATCTATAAGCATCTATAAGCATCTATAAGCATCTATAAGCATCTATAAGCATCTATAAGCATCTATAAGCATCTATAAGCATCTATAAGCATCTATAAGCATCTATAAGCATCTATAAGCATCTATAAGCATCTACAAGCATCTATAAGCATCTATAAGCATCTATAAGCATCTATAAGCATCTATAAGCATCTATAAGCATCTATAAGCATCTATAAGCATCTATAAGCATCTATAAGCATCTATAAGCATCTATAAGCATCTATAAGCATCTATAAGCATCTATAAGCATCTATAAGCATCTATATGCATCTATAAGCATCTATAAGCATCTATAAGCATCTATAAGCATCTATAAGCATCTATAAGCATCTATAAGCATCTATAAGCATCTATAAGCATCTATAAGCATCTATAAGCATCTATAAGCATCTATAAGCATCTATAAGCATCTATAAGCATCTATATGCATCTATAAGCATCTATAAGCATCTATAAGCATCTATAAGCATCTATAAGCATCTATAAGCATCTATAAGCATCTATAAGCATCTATAAGCATCTATAAGCACATCTATAAGCATCTATAAGCATCTATAAGCATCTATAAGCATCTATAAGCATCTCTATAAGCATCTATAAGCATCTATAAGCATCTATAAGCATCTACAAGCATCTATAAGCATCTATAAGCATCTATAAGCATCTATAAGCATCTATAAGCATCTATAAACATCTATAAGCATCTATAAGCATCTCTATAAGCATCTATAAGCATCTCTATAAGCATCTATAAGCATCTATAAGCATCTATAAGCATCTATAAGCATCTCTAAGCATCTATAAGCATCTCTAAGCATCTCTAAGCATCTCTAAGCATCTCTAAGCATCTCTAAGCATCTATAAGCATCTCTATAAGCATCTATAAGCATCTATAAGCATCTATAAGCATCTATAAGCATCTATAAGCATCTATAAGCATCTATAAGCATCTATAAGCATCTATATGCATCTATAAGCATCTATATGCATCTATAAGCATCTATAAGCATCTATAAGCATCTATAAGCATCTATAAGCATCTATATGCATCTATAAGCATCTATAAGCATCTATAAGCATCTATAAGCATCTATAAGCATCTATAAGCATCTATAAGCATCTATAAGCATCTATAAGCATCTATAAGCATCTATAAGCATCTATAAGCATCTATAAGCATCTATAAGCATCTATAAGCATCTAAAAGCATCTGTAACCATCTGTAAGCCATTCGGTAAGCATCTGTAAGAATCGTAAGCATACTGTAAGGCTCTTAAGCATCTGTAAGCATCTGCTAAGCATCGGTAAAGCATCTGATAACATCTGTAAGCATCTGCTAAGCATTATAAGCATCTATAAGCATCTATAAGATCTATAAGCATCTATAAGCTCTATAAGCCATCTATAAGCATCTATACAGCATCTAATAAGATCCCTCGAAAGCATCGTAATAAGCATCTATAAAAGCATCTATAAGCATTCTAGAAGCAACTATAAGCATCTATAAAGCATCTATAAGCATATATAAGGCGATCTATAAAGCATCTCCTCTATAAGCATCTATAAGCCATCTATAAGCATCATATAAGATCTATAAGCACTATAAGCATCTATAAGCATCTATAAGCATCTATAAGCATCTATAAGCATCTATAAGCATCTATATGCATCTATAAGCATCTATAAGCATCTATAAGCATCTATAAGCATCTATAAGCATCTATATGCATCTATAAGCATCTATAAGCATCTATAAGCATCTATAAGCATCTATAAGCATCTATAAGCATCTATAAGCATCTATATGCATCTATAAGCATCTATATGCATCTATAAGCATCTATAAGCATCTATAAGCATCTATAAGCATCTATAAGCATCTATAAGCATCTATAAGCATCTATAAGCATCTATAAGCATCTATAAGCATCTATAAGCATCTATAAGCATCTATAAGCATCTATATGCATCTATAAGCATCTATAAGCATCTATAAGCATCTATAAGCATCTATAAGCATCTATAAGCATCTATAAGCATCTATAAGCATCTATAAGCATCTATAAGCATCTATAAGCATCTATAAGCATCTATAAGCATCTATAAGCATCTATAAGCATCTATAAGCATCTATAAGCATCTATAAGCATCTATAAGCATCTATAAGCATCTATAAGCATCTATAAGCATCTATAAGCATCTATAAGCATCTATAAGCATCTATAAGCATCTATATATGATTTTGCTTGTTTCTGACATATTCTGGGGAAAACCAGGGCCATTACCAAATGGAAAAACGGGGCCTTGATCTCTGGAGGATCCACCGATCAGAAGATACGGATGGAGATGGGCCACCAAGATGGGAAGGGGTGATCTTCACCGGCAATGCCAAGAACTCTTAGACATAGAAATGAATATATATTATATATATTATATATATACTATGTTCGGGCTACGGGTTTTTCACTATGGTAATAAACTCCATAAGTTGGATAGGGGCTTTCCTGAAATAGGGGTACCTCCAAATCATCCATGTTTATAGGATTTTCCATAAGAAACCGTCCAATTTGGGGTACCTCCATGTCAGGAAACCCCCATATATAACTCAGGATGGTATATCCACTTGCAGAAGTGCACCTCCAGATGGATTCCCTACTTCTTGATGATCCGGCGACATCCCCCCATTGCTCCTCTGGCAAGTACACACAGGACTCATCTGTGAGCATCGCAGGTACGCCTTGAATGGACATTCACCAGATGAGTTGACAGTCAAAACCCTGGCACCCGGATGGTACCCTAAAGTAGCTGATTACTTTGGCTAATGGATGTTTATTCCCCCTTAAATATAATGATGATAGGTCTTGACACATCCCCAGTTCTCTTCGAATAAGAAGCTGTGTCATAAGAACAACAACGGATTGAGAACTCTAGACCTGTGCTCCAGAGGCAACAAAATTCCTTCCCCATATATTTTGCCAAAGGCTCAAGGCTCTATTGGTCTCAAGTTTGACCATTTTTTGGATCCCAATGATGATCCAAACATGGCTTGCGACTCCAAGTGACAATGTGCCACGTTGTGCTTTCGCAGAGGTCCGCGTTTGAAGAAGACCTGCAGTCGGTGGATCCATCTGCCGTGTTTCCTAAAATAGGGGTGCCCCAAAATCATCCATTTATAGATAGGATGTTCTATTATAAACCATCTATTTTGGGCTACCTCAATTTATGGAAACCCCCATTTGTGTATATGTATCCATATAGCTTCCATGTATGTATATATTACATGTATTGACATATGATGACATGTGTACGTCTAGGTAGCCATAGAATGAAGACCTCGAACCTGGTCATATCTATGGATATGGTTGGAATATTGAGCAGAACCCCTCCATATGACAACCTGGAAAACGCTAATGTTTCTATACATCTGTGTCACATTTGCCCCATCTCCGCTGCTTGTGGCATCTTGTCCTGTGCTACTCTGTTGACCCGATTGCTTTTTTTTAACAACCGCAATTCTATGGTCCCAAGTATGTGCTTTCATCCCCAAGCAAACCATGGTTTCCGTGGTGTTTTAAAAAAATCTTAAAGCAAATGGATTGGCTACTTCCAATGTTACATCCCATATATTCCATGTTATATGCCTGTTTTGTCCGCTACAAAACGTTGGTAAAACCCCCATTCTGGGCCCCTGGGCTATCCCCGGTTTGCTTCCACGCCAAGTGACAGGTGCTGGGTAGCGACCAGAGTTCCGGCAGTGGGCCTGGTCCACAAATCACGGGGCTAATGGACCATGGCAGCCATGGATTGCTACCCTAATGTGTGCTTTGGAGCTTACATACTTTTCAATTGTCTATTTTTGTCCACATAAAATATCACATTAAATTGCTGTACAATATTTTTTTGCACGTAACTTATAACGACTATGTTCTACTATATTGTTACATATCATACATATCATTGAATCTATCATCTTCAATTTGACGAATTTGGAGGCTCACCTTCAATGATTTTCACCCGGGGCCGGAGCTCCACCTCGTTGAATTCCATGGTGTTATCGGCCAGGTAGTAGTGGATGTTGAAGTAGAGCCGGGCTCCATACTTCGTATGGTCATCCCAGTATCCCTTGAAGCGCAAGACCCTCCGATCCTTGGCAGATGGGGATGGGGAATGATGGGGATGGCGATCTCACAGGGCTATATAAAAGCCATAGAAATTTGGGGATGACTTAGGGATGGTCTATGAAACTGGGTTTACCACATTTATGATGTTTGAATGATGATCGAATGAATATCTAGTGAGTATCTAATGAGTATCTAATGATTATTTACTGATTGTTTAACGATGTTTAATGATTGTCTGGTGATATCTATGTAATTATAATTAATGATCATCTCATGATCAGTTTTTGCTCTTATCTATAGATTTTGCTCTTATCTATAGATTTCAATCCCCTCAAAAATGAACCCCCAGAATCGAAAAAAGGGCCTGCAAAAGCCATCAAAACAAAATGATTTGCCAACCGCATCCTGTCTCTTGCGATGGAAACAAACGACCCTTTAGAAATTCCCAGCCAATTCAACCGGTCCATTTTTGTGGAGGGTCGAATACTCCATGAACATCTAGTTCATGAAAATCTGGATTAGAATCTGGATATATCTGGATGTCTTGTAGTAATCCACTCTGAAATTCGTGGGGCGATGGGAGACTTCGCTGAGTTACCCAACCATTCCCAATCATTCCACTGGGCGCCCCAGACGTTGAGCAGGAATTGTGTGAGTTTCTTGGACACGGGAGGAGCTCCCATCTGGAACCTGAGCGTTTTTCGCAGCCATCGTTGCCGCAGTCGTTGCCTACAAAGGAAAGTTCATATATTTGATTGGGAAAAACTCAGATGTTATGGGAATTTACTTGAATTTATGGGATTACAATGATTACAACCAAATTTTGAAACAGAGTGAAAAAATATGAAAAAATACATCACGCAGCATCTCCGTTTTTTGTTCCCATCGCCAATGGTTTCGAAACTGTCCAACCACTGGTATCCCAAACTCTCCATGGCTCTCCCAATGGTTGGCTCAAATCACCAGTCCGATCAATGGATTGAAGGGGGAAGTCCCGCAAACATCATAGGTTGTTAAGTTGTTAACCCCAAATATGGGGCTTTCCAATGCTTAAACCATGGGTAAACCAGGTAAACCATGGGTAAAGCCTGTAAAATGTTAAATCTTCCATTCCAATTCAGGGATTACCCTCTGGTAAACGTTTACAAAACTATATGGGAAATCACCATGCTATTTATGGGAAAATCCACTATTTCTATGGCCATTTTCAATAGCAAACTGTTAGTTTACCAGAGGGTATTCAGGGATTCCATGGATCCAAAGCCCAAGAAACTGTCCGATGGTCTTTTGCTCCACCGAAAAGCGCGAGGGCGGTAAGGCGCCACGGTCGATGAGTTTCCTGCCAGACAAGTTTTCATCCCGTGCGTTGGAGGCAAAAACTCAAGGCGTGACTTTCATGTGACACCACCAGAAACATGGAAAGAAATATGTTTATGTATAATGTCAACCCCGGATTAATAAACCATGGTTTATTAATTAGGGGGGTACTCCCTCATAATCCAGTACTTAAATGGTACCACCCCAATTAACCAGCCTAAGGGTTTATTAATCCGGGGTTGACATTATATATATATATATATAACTGGTTGGTGGTATACACCTAGCCCTCTGAAAAATAAAATATGACTTCGTCAATGGAAAGGAAAAGATTATCCCATATTAATTAATTATGGAAAATATAAAAATCATGTTTGAAACCAGCAACCAGATAATATGTCATTAAATTATGGTAGGTACAAAAGCGCTGCCAACTGCAAACTTTGATCATCTCTCTGGTTTCTGCTACGATGAAGTCATTCCTGCGTTCAGTTGCTTCAAAGTGACCATAATTTATGGGAATTCTCCAGGCCTTTAGCCTTAATTTTTTCGGGTTCAGTTTCCAAAACTTCCAAATGTCCATTTATTGCATCTTATTCGTGAAAACCTGTAGATTCACCAAAATGGTTCCATCCACTCCAACTTTGGCAAAGCTTCCTCAGTTTGTAGGACTTCTGCCACGCGTCTTCTTGGACCTGATTCTCTGAAAATGCTTCAGTAACTTCAGTATGATCCTTGCAGCGACCTCCAAAAAAAGCTCCATATTTTTAGCGACATCGACCCAATGGTGAAATCATGTGAAATCGACTGAATCCGAGGAAGGGACTTCCTCATTCTCTCCGATCTCGACACCGATCTCCCGATAGTACCAACGAGTGAAGCTATCACAGCCAGTGATGTGATAGGTCCTGCCGTCAAGTTCTTCAACTCAGCTGGAGAAATTATGCAGGATTTTGCATGGGGAATATGGATACCCGGCCTGGTAAACGTTTACAAAAAACTATGGGAAGATCCACCATGCTATTAATGGGAAAATCCACTATTTCTATGGCAAGTTTCATAACAGCGAACTGTTAGTTTACCAGAGGGTAACTGTCGAGTCCCGTTTTCGTGGACCCATCGGGAGATGGGAAAATCACCACAATCACCGACGCACTGTGCCTACCGAAGAGAGTGATCTGGATGCCACAGCGGAGATCTTCCGGGCCGATGAAACCTGGAAAAAGAATGGTGTCATGTTGAGAAAAACAGGGTTTTTAACCGGTGTTAGACACGAAATCTTGAGATTGTTTGGGGGAAATCTGCTACTTTCTAGACTTTCTACTAGCGGATTCACCATGGACAATCATGGACAATCTTGATCCGTTCAGCTTCAGCGCCTGTTCCATCATTTCGGGAGACCCGCTGTCTTTTCAAGAAGGAACCTGGCCAGCAGCTGGATGTTGGCTTACCAGTTTCAGCCGGAAAGTCATTACAGATGAGTCCAGGTGGATATGACCAACGACATACTGGGGGACTTCCTACAAAAACTGTGGAACTGACAGATTCTCCGTCACTTGAAGCATCTCCCAAAAAAATCTCGAGCCAAGGTCCACAACAGCAAGTGCAAAAGAAAAACAAGCGGGAATTCTGACTAAGGTGAGCCTGAAAGTGCTGTTTGTTTTCTATAAACCAGATCTTAGGACCCTCAGGACCCTTAGGATACATTTTCTCGGCAGTTAGTTGCCAACCTGAAGGTCTGAGGATGTTTGAGGAGTCTCTGGCCTTGTACAATGCCGGAGTTTTCAATCCGTGGCTCGGACATGCTGACGCTTCCATCCTCCAGGTAGTACCTGGAGACGGCCGGGCTGCACATCATCAATAGTCAGAAGATGTTGGAAGTCATTCATCAAAAACTCCAGTTTTGTTTAGGTAGAAAGCCATCATCCCCCCAAGAACTCCTCCTTTCGCGGTTTCGGTGGCACATGATGATGATATGCCGCTTGCGGCTGTTTTCGTCCGCCCGTTCCGTGACCGTCTCCTGGAAGAAGGCGTAGAAGCGGAGAACCTGCGAAGCGGGGGATGACGGGGTGCTGAAAATGGAGCCCCAAATGGATGGATTTCAGGATAGAATGGGGAACGGAGACAACAAAAAATGAACAAGAAATGATGTGAGATTGTCTTAAACTGGGGGACTTAAGCCCCAATTTGTGGCCATGCTAACTTGGGAAGACCATGAAAGCGACCTTATTTTTAGACAGATCCATATCAAATTGTGGGACCTTAAAAAGCATCCGAAACAAATTCAGTTCTTGTGGGATAGTCATGGATATTCTGCGTAGTTTCAATGCCTTGGCACCCGGAGAAAATCGCACAGGGAACCTGTGGTTTCAAGAAGCCTATGCAAAGCACATGTCCAAGATTTTGGACCTTTGGTATTTGAGTGTGTCTGAAAATAGATTATATCAGATTATATCATGATATCATTATTCCCAAATCCAGTGCTTAATGGCTCCTTTCTAAGATGGTAATTTTGGAGTCTATCACGGTATACCCCATTTTTGGACACACCCATTTTGCTTTCTTGGTGCTTCAAGTAGTGCTCTTCAGAGCACATCCAAAATCCTCGCCTGCTTCTCATGCTTCAGCCATGCTGGAGTGACGCGTGGATACCTTGGCTTCCCCGGATCATGGTTTGTGAGCACCTGCCTCATCAAACCTGGTTAATTAATAGGTTTCCCATATGGGTTACTTCAGAATCCCCAATAACCAGGTAGTATCACTCCTTACAGTAACCAATCAACAAGGGTATGGTTCATTGCTCCATTCTTTGGAAGATGAGTTTCCCAGTGAAAACAGTTCTGGGGACTTGGTGCCCTTAGGGTCCCACCGCTGGTTCTTTGGAACCAAGTCCTGGAGCGGAGAGACCCTTGGGATCCGGTGCGGAAGTTCCACATGTTTAGCTCGGCCATTGGGGGAGTATATTCCATTTTCAGGCACATGATGGCACATGGTATATATGGATATATATGGGGTATGGTCATCCATCCCAGACAAGGAATCCTTACATTGGGTAAATAAATCATAATCAATCCCTACGGCCCTACTAATGAATTGATGACCATCTACAATCCATCTGTTGACTGTGGCTCATATGAATATTGAGATGAAACCACGCCTGGGCAGGTATCACCACTGGTTTTTTGGGGGGATTTCTTGGATTCGATTTGAGTTGTGGCTCATTCGCACTGCCTGGCTGACGTATCAAATATGGATCAACTGTGGTTTAACCATGTGTTTCTCAGTGTTTTCCCAATTTTCCCAGGAAAAAACCCTCCTCTCCCGGCAACTTGGTCCCTTTTTTCATCACTCCTCCACAGTCACGGGCAACTCTTCCGGCTCTGGCGTGGCCCGTTGGCGCCAGCCAGGGCGTTGCAGCTCCATGACCTGAACATTCTTCGATTCCACTATCTGTCGTGACTTGAATGGTCAATGGGAATCATTTCAAACTATATAAATATGTGTATATATTATATAGTATATATTATATAGTATATATATATATTATATATTATATATATATATTATATACCATCAACCACTTCGTTGTTTGTATGGGTATAACTATGGGGAACACATTGGTTAATATGGATTAATGTTTATTATTATGCCAAAAGTATGGGATCACCTACCCTCTGGCAAAGTAGTAGTTCACATATCCATTCCTAGTGGATCATATCATGGGCCATTTTTTCAATCTCCTGCATCTGGACATCACAAATTGGGCCTCATATGGGGATGAGTCAAAACCCTGGTACCTAGTGAACCCCAAAATAGCTGGTAAATGGATGTTCATCCCACTAAAAATGGTATTAATAGGTATTGACCCATACCCATATGCTTTCATGAAGCCACGGCAGATTTGGGTGAATTTTTTCACCATCCCTCGGATCCACTGGGATCCCAACGTATTCCAAGACTTGCTGACCTCATGGGGAGACCCAGGCAGCTACGGGCCATCAACGCACCATCCTTTTGGTTTCCGGACAGGGTACCCTCTGGTAAACATACAAAAAACTATGGAAAATCACCATTCTATTAATGGGAAAATCCACGATTTCTATGGCCATTTTCAATAGCAAACTGTTAGTTTACCAGAGGGTAACCATTGAATATTCAACCGCGGTGATGAAAAATCGGAGAAAAACCATGGAAGACCCGGGGTTTTGCCCAAGGTCCCAACTTACATCTGCTGGTTTGAAAGTGGCAAAGGCCGATTTCTTGTCGTTGGCCTCACTGACTTTGGTGCAGGACTGGTGTCTTTTAATGGATAACCGCAGCATACCGCAGCACTCCCATGAGTTGGGATATATCCACTAATTGAAGGAGGAAGCCTCAAATGCTTCGAAAATTCGAAAATGTCTAAGTTATGACTCCAGGATGCTGAAATATGATACAGAAAAAACCCATTCAACCAGCTGTGCGATACGTTTCTGTCGGACTTTGTTGCTGTAGCCTTTGGAAGACATGCTGGGAGGCACCCGATCTTTCCCCCTTCAAAGTGGCTTTTTCCAGATGTGGTATACCCCAATTGATGGAGGCGACTTTCTCAACCTCAGGGGTTTTTCCCAACATTTTTTGACAGACCCAATGCATATTCTTGGCATATTCTTAGTTATAACTTTCATATGTCACAGTATCCCATTGTATTATTGTCCCATGAGAGTTCGATGGTTTTTCTTGGTTTTCTCCCCCCGCGTTTTCATGTTTTTTCTGGATTCACAGAGAACATGTTCACTTCCCATGTCATAAACATGGCAGGCAGGCTGTCGCATAGCGAAGCGACTGCTGTTTCTCATGTCCTGCGGAGTTGATGTCACAATCTTGGTGAACCTTTGTATGGAGGATATAACATGAATATAACTATAGTTAACGGGTTTATAACAGTTTATAACTGTAGTTGATGGCTGTTAATGGATGTTTATGGCTTTTAATGGCTGTTAATGGATGTTAATGGCTTTATAGACTGATAACTGGGAGGCCTCACCTTGTAAGCGATTAGCCATCAGCCCATTGTTTTAGTCGGAATGTTCCATGTTTAACTGGGTAATGTGGTTAGTACCCACTGGGATGCATAATCCTAGTTGCAATGTGTGGAGATGTGGGTTTGGTACCTTAAATTTTGGGGGAAACAACACGACATTTCGCTGATTTAAAACCTCATTCTCCCTACCAGTATGAGATTCAGTAAGTTGATGAATATTGGTGCCAAACATTCGCATGCGAATTCCAATGTCATCGCAAGTCAATTGATCAATTGGCCGTGTTCATCAATTCTCAGAAAATTCTGCCTCCAATTAACAGAAAAAAAATCCCATTAACAGAAACGGTGTTAAAAATTTTCGTGTGTTTCGTGATCGAAGTCCGATCCCAACAGCACCTGCCAATTTGGGCGCAGTGGTGCCCAGGGCGAGGATCGCCGGGAGGGACGCGGATTTATTGAGCGTCATCGATGACCTGGGAACGACCAGGGGACCATGGGACCAGCAAAATGGCCATGGGGAAGATGGGGAAAATCATGGAGGTACCAAAAAAAACAACAGTTATGCCATGTTCATGGGGTTGATGATAAACCATAGGATTTTCTTTGGTGGATTTCTTGATTTTCAGAACCATGAAACCCAATTTTCATGTTTCATCAGCCTTTTTATTGCCTCATGTCCGTGACTCCAATGGATGACTTCAGCTGGAAAATCCCCTATGTAGTTCGATGGATGTTCAGAGCTGTTCAACTATAGGTAATTGCTGAATAGTATTTACTATAGTTACTATAGATATTTTGTATCAATATTATTAATATATAGATATTTAGTTCCTAAATATGTGTGTATATATATATATATACATATAGATAGATATTTAGTTACTATATAGATATAGATATTTTGTTCCTATACAGATATAGATTCTTTACTATAACCATAGTTCCTAGTCACTTGACCGGCCGTTGCGGCTCACAGCGGACTGGGCCCAGCGGACGTCGAAAAGCCACGCGCCCATTTGGGCCGAGCTTCTCGAGCCAAAAAATGTCGAGGTTAGCTGGTCACCAAAGATTGGAACCCAAAATATTGGGAATTGAACTGGTACATATATATATATATCACGGGGTGTGTAGTATGTGTATATGTACATACATATCAATATATATATATAGGGGGTGTGTATATGTACATACATAATCATATATATATATATATATGACACCAAGAAATCTGGTATGTAATGGGAAGAAAATAGGATAATAGGGTTGGTTTAACCACTTCACAACAATCAGTCAGCTATATGGCTGGGAGATCCCCCAATCGAACGATTGCTGGTGGGAAGAATGAGGCCATGTTTCGTCTGATTCCTCCAATATCCTCCAATCAGCTTTCCATCGTAGATGATTTCCATCTCATCACATCTCCAGGTTTCGAAGTTTCTACTTCATTACTTGGTTGCAACCTAGCAATTCCAGAGAATTCACTGTAAAGATTGGCTTGGTTTGAGATGCTAACAACCATCATTTTGTGATGGCCAAGAAGGTGGCGATAGATATCATCCAGGTATAGCAAGATATAGCAAGTACATGCAAGTACTGTAACCGTAGATTCGGAGATATGACATACCATTGCTGTGCCTTAAAGTGTTACAATGTATTCCACATGATGTTGGTATGGCCGGCAGTACGGCTAAAACTGAGCTATGTCACGCTGGGTCGTCCTCCCAGGTTGGTGGTTTCACCCCCAAAACGACTTGGAAAAGATGAGAAATCGATGGAAATCGTCTGCGCTATCCGCGGGAGCACATGGCGCAGGACCGAAGGCAGGACCACGCAGGACCATCACACGCCACGGGACCAGCTGCCCCCTTTGGAAACAGCTTCAGAGCTGGCTGCCAGCTGGCTGGATCACAGAAAAAGCCCAGCCTTGGATCCAAATGAAAACGCTGACGCCGATTTTCGCCCACCTTTTTTGATGCGAAAGTTGTCGAAAAAGACTGACCAACTGATAGCCTTAGATACCAGATATATCATCCGAATGTATATAATATACTAAGACTACGCTCTTCAAAAAGTCTTTACGTTCATGGAAGAAACTTGCTTGAAATGTTCAAAATGGACGAGTATTTCATACATTGACTGACCATTCATCCTTTCCTTCTTGGAGAGCCCAACTGTCTGCCAGTTCTACTCAAGGGAATACCACTGGTGGTATGGGCCGGAGCTGACCTGTTGTGATTGGGCATATATATATATATATATTACATACATATATACGTATATATATATATACGTATATATAACGGTATACTTGGCATGTAGCACCTGTAAGTCACCCGCAGAGCATTGCGAAGCTGTGTTCCATGGTGTTCTACCCTGTGCTCCCATGCTTTTGAGGAATGTGTCATGCCAAAACTGGTCAACCGAGTTCTGCAAAATGCTGACATGGAAAGAATTTCGTCTCTTCTTGGAAGAGAAAGATCTGCAAAATTCCGCCGTGTGTCACTTGGTGCCCTTTCACTTGGGAACATGGTGTGTCTATTGTTAAACCATGTTAAAACACGTTTTTTTACACGTGTCCAAATCTGTTAAAACATGTTTAAAAAAACATTTTAAAACCATCAGGTGGTATATTTCAGGATCAGAACCGCTTCAGATGCGATGATATCATCACCAGAAACCATCCGCGGAATCGTGCAGTGGCCAGTTGCGCAGGATTCGCTGAGACCTTTGGGTCTACAAACCCTGCCGTGGCATGGGATTTTGACTCAAAAAGGCTAAGGCTCGGCTAAGGGGCCACTTGGCTCTTTTTCCCCTCTGCTCAGGAGCTGAGCTAAAGCTCAGTATTTAGCTCAGTAACCAACCTGCGCTTCGACATCTGGGATGCCTGTACTGCTGTCAAGAGGTGTTCAAAATGTTCTAAAATTCATTGGGAAATTGGGTCCATAATCATCTCCGGAACCCAAATCTCAGGTTGATGGTCATTTATGGTTGATCATCAACTATCATCAACCTACACCCAAAGGTGAAAAGAAGACCAGGGAACCGAGCCTCTTCGAGTCCAGCACACCTTGGGAGCTTTAAAAAAAAACGGCCATGGAGACTTCCAGTGACCATATCCTGGTTGCCAGTGGTCTACTCTGCCGTAATTTCACAGTTTGCTATGGAAGCCATGGCCCAGCAAAATCGACAATTTACCAATTCAAAGCTGTAATGTTCATTCAGTTTCCATAGCTATCTCACCAGAGGATAAACTTCTGACATCTTGGCCGTTGAGGCTCCCACTCACTTGCTCGCCTGCGGCTGAGATATGCTGAGATCTAGGTGCCCCCAGAACCCATTCCCATCCACAGCTCCCCACCTTGGGCGTATGCAAGGGTGAGCCAGCTGGGCTTTCCACATTCAGTGACCCGGCAGCCTGCGGCATGGCGGAACCGCAACAAAAAGCTGGTGGATCTACCAGGCATTGAATGTACATGAATGGGTACTGTACACATTCATCATTGTCATCATTACCATCAAACCATGATTGTTAGTTGTTCTTATCATTCTGATTATCATCCTTATGATCTTATTGTCATGTGTTTGATCGTGACTAATCAGTATCGTTATCGGTAATAGTGTCATTGAATTATCATTGATCACTATTGTCAGTATTATCAACATTATCATTGCTAAGGGGATTGTGATTATTAGTATCAGTAGTAATATTAGTGTCATGGCAATCAAAGCTTTCTTCGTTACTACGAGTCATCACGATTATCATTATTATCGTTATCATCATGATGATTATCATTGTTGTCATTATTATCAATATTCTCAATATCATCATTAAGTATTATTATTACCATTATTGTCATTCTTGCCAATCATTCCACTATTAATCATCATTTGCCGTGATATTAAACGTTATTACGTATGTTATTACTAACCATGAATCCTCATTGTCAATTGGGTACCTCCCAACACCACATCAGCCATGGCCGCAGAATCGCTCTGCGCATCCCGACAACCAAAGCAGGAGACGAGACGACACGACCCAAGGAGGGCAGCTGCATGTCTTTCTTCCCACTGGGAGAGGCTGGAGCAGCCTACGTTTTTCAAAACGACAACGCGACAACGGGGGACTTTGCCAAAAACATGGGGAAACAAATCCCTTGGAAAAGCATTGCAAAAGCCATGAAAAATCCTTGGAAACCGACCTGGACCTGGATTCTGCGGCTAAGATATGGGAAAAATCCTGGAAGTTCATCTGTTCTCTGAGAAACGATATCTGAAAAAATCACGCGGATTTTCCATATAAAAATCTTAGTTTGCTGGGTATACCGCATCCCTGTCTTTGTGAGATCTTTATGAAACTCATGTCGTGTCCTGAACTGGAGGCATCCGAAATCAGATGGGTCAACAACCAGACTGCTGGATTCATCTGGATTCTGGATGTGATCCAGTACAATCCAGAAAATTTAAGGACAATCAACCAGGAAATTTGGATCAACCCAATCCAAATCAACGAGACTGCTGGATGGGTCAACCCAATCCAGGAAATTTAAGGACAAGCGCAAATCGGAATGATTCGGAATGGCTGGGGACACACCAATTTGGCACTGAGTCATTGCAGTAGCTCCTTTTTTTGGAGCAGGTGGAGGAAGAGAACGACACAACGAACTGGCGCTTTGTTAGGAATTTCACACCGTAACTATCGCATTCAACATCATTTGACACCATGCCGATGGCATTCAGTCATTCCAAAACCTCTGGTAAAGGTTGTCACTCAAACCTAAGTCAAAACTACCCTCTGGCAATTTAACATAGCTATTGAACATGGCCATAGAAATAGTGAGTTTTCCCATTAATAGCATGGTGATTTTCCATAGTTATGTAAACATTTACCAGGCCGGGTATATTCTGAAACTTCCCACTCTTCCTGATTTTCGGCTGACCGAACCTGGACAAAAGGGGGCTAGAAACATGACCAACCGTTGTGGTGGATACTGGCGGTCCGTTCTTGGCCAGCAAGAATGAGGGACATTGCCTAACATGGATATCAGTGAGTAGAGTTTGGAACGAGAAAATGAGCATATGGCATATAGCCAACACTTATGAGGTTAAATATTCTGGTAAGTGTGGGTATTGGTCAAAATTTCGAGGAAGCCCCAAAAACCGAGGGTTTTAATTCAAGAAACGACTCAGTCATACTCAGTCTATCTGCGTTTCCTTCATCTTCACATGTCTTTACCAGACCATTTTTGACAGGTTCATACAGGTTCTGTGTTTTTCGGGGTCCCTTTGAGTGGAAACCCATGGACGCATCTTGGGCATCGCCTTCTTTTCCATCTTGGGCGTCTTTGGAACTCGCAGAGAACCGGGCATCACAGGTCCATCTTGGCTATAACGGACCTCAGCAGTGAAGTTTCGCAGAACAGGGGAACTTTTCTTGGAAAATGCCCTAAATTATATATATATACGTGTGGTCGGTTGTTCATAGGATTCTGCAGATTCGCAGTTCATGGATTGTCGTGTAGTTACTAAGTTGTTGATCCCCTAATCAGAACCAACCATTTTTGGATCCCCTACTCCCCATTTTGGGATCCATATAGTTGATAGCCAAATCCGGCTAAACATGGCTAAACATGGCTAAACCCGTATAATGGATCCATATTGATCCCCAAAAACCCGGGTTTTCAAAACGCTGTCAGCGTGGCCCAATGATTCTGCTGGTTATCCTCGAAGCATCGGCTCCAGATGGGGTGAAGCCCTAATAGAATAGACCAGGATTCAAGGGTACCTGGGTAGCCCTTTTTGAAATGTGAATAAGCATGGATAAGTTACTGAATAAGCATCATTCCGAGGTTTTTTGCCACCGCTGTTCGATTCTTCGAAAATTCTGGTTGAGGGAGATCCCTCAGAGGAACCCATTTTCCGAGCAGCCTGAAGTTAAGAAACTCGCCAAGTGCTGAGAGCCCTGAGAGCCACGCAAATGCTGGAGCGTTGGCTCTCTGAATTTCCTCATGGCAGATCTCTGGGACTCCCAGTCACATGGGGACATGTTGGGACCGAATGGGTGCTGCCCCGTTCTTTCCAACCACACGGCGTCATAAACCCGGGCGCTGCCTTGCGCACTTCCTTTCCACCGTGCGTCTTGTACCAATCAAAGATCTGATCCAGATGATTGCATCGCGCCTGCAAGTGGCGCCATGGAAATCCACCGTGGAGTCAGCTTCCAAGGAATGCCAAAAGGATCCCAAAGATCAAACCTTTTTAACGCAAGAATCACATCCCACGCAAGCCTGGTGGGCAAAGTCCTGGATTTGCAAAGGATCATCAAATTCGAGGGTTTATCAGCAGAATCTTCAGCAGAAATTGAAATAAGGCTACAATCAGTGGATAGGAATGGGGCTGTCGGCCCCCATTTCCATTGATTGAAGATGATAGGCCCATCGAATTCCGAAAATGGGGTTGTTCCATGTGGGACTGTCGGCAGGGGATGGTGGTGTGACAAAAACACCCAGAAATGGGATGGTGATTCCAAAAATGACAGCAATCGATGCATCTCAAATTTTGACTTCGCGGATGGAATCGCTGTGAGGATGGACCCCATACCATTTAGAAGTGGCAAGGAGTAGGTGCCCGCCCTTCCAAACGCGACCAACACGTTTGGAAACCACGTATCCGCGGTCCCTGAGACTCTCATCGCTATCCATCTCCATGTTCAGCATCAATCGCCTGCAGCTCTACCAATGACTTGAGCGGATCCGTTGCGCTCAAGGATGGCGCCGATCAAAATTGCCACAGAGTCCGAAAGACTGGCTTTGTCACGTTAGGAAGCCCTTGAAGTGCCGGATAATGCCAGATCGTAATCAGATAGTACCAGTATCTGACAATGATTAACCATCATTAACCATCATTAACCATCATTGATCATTAATACCAGTTAGTAAAAAAAAAACATGGCTTGCTGGAAGATCCCCACATCTTTTTTGAAGAAACCGTCCCAAAAAGCGGCCGGGCCTCAGGGAGGTGTCCACTGAGCTCCGCCACTGATATCGGGTTTCACTTTGACTCATCCTGCGACACGCGTAACGCGAGGATCGCGACGCGTTTGGATGAGTCAACCAGCCAGGATGGAGGGATCATGGGCTCATCAAGTCTTGAAAATATACTCTCAAAGTCAAGAATTCACACATTGACACAATATGAATTTATGAATTTCATCCCAAATTTTCCCAATTGACACAATGCAGCTGACTACCGGAAGAGTGATCTGAATGGTATCACACTATCTTCAATGATGATATCGTCAACTATCATCATGATTCATGGATATTCATAAAATGTCATAATCAACCATCCCAACCATCCAATATGACATATTTTCCCACCAGGATTCATGGATATCGTCAACCATCCAAGGTGGTGCATGATTAAGGTCGTGTGGATGGTTGCGAAATCCTGCACCACCAAAAGGATGGGAAAAAATTAATCACTCGCCTCACCGGGCTGCTTGGCTTGGAAGGAGCCTCCTCACCTCGGAAGGGAAATGTTCAGCTGCAAATCTCAGGGAAGTCAGGGAAGTTTTTGATACATCGAATTCGATGGCCTGGTTACTGGTTGATTTTTCAACCATTTTATGAGGGATTTCTATGGAATTCTTGGGGTGCCACCGCCACCACATTGAAAAATAGGCGTATCGTAGCTTGTCATCCCATATTAGCCGATTTTGAGGATTCGGTGGTTGTTTGAGTACTCGTTTGTAGAGCCTCACGGAAGTTGAGGACTAATTTTAGGTGGTCAAATTATATAAAAACGTCTAAAAACTTCAGTTGTTGCAAAAAAAAACGTCGTTCTCCACTGCCAGTGCCATCAAGCTTCCCTGAAAGCTTGCAGGGAGCTTCTTGTCGCTCCCAACTGCAGGGACGTCGACCTGGCAACCAGCAGGGGGTTGCCCCCATTTTTTGTGGATTTCAAACCAGCCACCCCATCCAAGGCGATAGAAAAGTTCCAGAAACTGAAAGCAACTGTGGATTCAAGCAATCAAAACAGGTGGATGTTACGAGCAAAAATAAAAAGGCTAGAAGTTGTGTTCAGATATCTTCAGATATAGCCAACAAGAATTGGGATCTACATCCTTGTTAGCAATCCTTACAGAAATCCCGGAGCTAGGGAGTTTCCGGCAACCCCACCTGGGCCTGGATCATACCGGTTCAATCTCCAGGCAAAGTCACCAACTTCATATTGTCGCTTCCACAATCATCATACAGTAATCTTATACATGCATGTATATATATATATATATAGTATATATCATATATGATATCCCCATTATTAATGCCAGATAAAAACTGATATAACCCCATCGTTGGTTTATCCCCATATGAAAATTCTACATCGTCGCATTGTATATATACCCATTATCTACGTACTGTATCCCCAGTATATCCCCATGATAAACTGGTAGATCCTCATTTTTGGTGAAATATCTCCAATAGTTCACCAATAATGGTAAAATATTTCTATTGCTTTTTTATATCAATCGACTATAGTGATTATATCCAATACTCAATGCACGTAATCCCAGTCCACATGGTATATCCTCATTCTATACGAATGGCAATCGTCCACCACCGGGCCATCCCTATCTGCTTCGCTGCTTCGCTTCCCGACGGGCTCTGTGGCAATGGTGCGCAGGACCCGGTTCATCTCGTCGCAGCCTCGAGCTGAGCTGAGACCGAGATTTCCTATTTTTGTTGAAAGCCAAACAAAAAAGAAAATAATATCCATGATGTACATGTGTATATATATATATATCAATCGATCGATCGATCTATCGATCTATCTATCTATCTATCGATCTATCTATATATATATATGCATACATATGTACAATTGAAATTTTGAAGTGTGATTCTGAAACTTAGTCCAAACCCTGGCTGGGAATGAATTGTATGGTCTTGTTGCCAAAGTTTGCCTCAACGTATGTACTGTACTTTTTGGGTAAGCCAATAACGAGAGCAAGTCGCTCTACTGGTTGGTGATCCGCATGTTATTAATCTAAGTGCATTGTTCTTACATTATCAGGATTTAATCCGTGTATGTATATATATATATTATATATATATACATATATAAAATTATATAAAATTATATAAATGGGGATCGAACCAATGATCATGGAGACTAAGCTAATCATGGGCACATCAGAAGCAACAGTGCATCATTGCAAGTCTCTTGAAAATTGAAGACATACATCCCACAAAACTAGATTGGACTCAATCATTGTACCGGGAATCTCGAATGATAATGGAAAACCACAATCTTTTATAGGTAAACCACCATTTTTTATAGGTAAATCATGGTAAATCATCTCCAAAACCAACCATGGACCTCGGGTCCACCGAAGAGTCCACCGTATTTCTTCGGACCGCTGGGTCTCCCGGGGCCATCCGTCCGAAGCGTTTCTTCTGTCATTGGCTGCGGTACCGGTTCTGCATCGCCGGGCAGGTGCCAAGAGAGAAAATCACGGGAGATCCTATGAATGATCGTTTTGGAACGACATCTCAGCCATAGATATAGATATATTCAGATATAGATATAGATATAGATATATGTATATATGTATATATTGTAGCCAATCTTGACATCCACTTGCATCGCAGCTGGTGATTCAAAAAATTGGTCTAGTCATCATTATTGACGCTCAGTCAAGGCACGGACCCCCGGGTCATGCCTGGTTTGAGCCCTTGCGCTTGGAGCACCTTCTCCTGGCTGGGAAAATCATCGAACTAAATGCTGGATTTTCCACGTGACTGATGACCGGAGGGGAAAAAAACAAACTGAACAGAAGGAAACGTTACCTCAACAAAAAAACAACAAAGTGTAGCCAGTGTCAACAAAAAATGCCTCAAGTCATCCACTCATTGAGGATTTGGCATCGGAGCATCCCATCTGCAATGGCTGCATCAATGGTCCCCACTGTCCTCCATCTCCTTATCCAAACGCTGCCGTGATTCCTCCTCGTGACTCCTGCGAGTTTCGGCGAGTTTCGGATGGAAAGGATCGCTGGAAATCATTGAAAATCTTGATTTTGTGATTTTGTCAGGGTTTGAAATGATCAATGGATTGGTTTAAGGGAAAATTTTAACCGGAAAACCCCATATTTAATGGGAAAATCTATGGTTTCCTGTAAATTTTCCCTTAAACCAATCCATTGACATCAAGGATGATTTAGCAAACATCTATTTTCAACATTGCCGAAGCAAAGATTTGAAGAACTTCACTGCGGGTCAAAGCCAAACGCTGCGAGCACCGCTTCTTTTTTTGGCTTTCGCTGTTTGGAGTCTCCAGGCTATGTTTCACCTGCGGCTCAGTCGTGTCTGCTGTGCTGATTGCGCGGCCTAAGCAATCGACACTGCCCTCCCAGCTAGCAACCCAAGATCTCAACAGCGGATTCTCTCAGGATAAAAGAAGATGCTTTACTTTGCTGCATCTGATCATTGTTCATATCCTCATTCTTCTTGGTGATAGTGATATCCATGAAAGAATGCCACTATCTATCACCCTCTGAAAAATAAAAAACACAGCAACGGTTGCTGACAGCAACGTTGAAAATCCCAATGTACCTATATGTACCTAATGTTTTTATCCAGTTTGACACATAAAAATGCGGCTTGAGGTTTCCATCGAAGATCCACCAGCTATAGTTCGATGTGTTTCCCAGCAACCCTCCATTGATACCGGAGTTTCCCACTAAAAAATGACCATTTAATGATTTAATGTCCATGAATATGGATGATTTGTCCATATTTATCCCATATTTATCCCATATATTTTCCCACATAGTTTACCATATATTTTCCCACATAGTTTCCCATATAGTTTCCCATATAGTTTCCCATATAGTTTCCCATATAGTTTCCCATATATTCCCATATAGTTCCCATATAGTTTCCCATATGTTTCCCAGCGAGGGCCCCGAGAACTGGATCTGCTCCGAGAAGCGCATCCCAGAGCTCCAGCACCAAGGTTCTGCGATCTCCCTCCACGGCACTGACCTGGATCTCCAGCCCATCGGATGATTAATATATGGTATATATGGTATATATGGTTATAGTATATATAATGTAAATATATAATGGTTATAGTTTATATATATATATATATACATATCAGATCTGTATATCATATCTATATATTATACATTTTTTTTAGTATTTATATGTATTTGACTATGACTATATATGATGTAAATGATATCTGCAGCACATAGTTACATGTCGTATGTATATATATATAATTATATATATATAGTATTATATAGTATGTAAACTGTAACGAACCAAAAAAGGTGATATTTACTTCAAATTACTTACAAAGATCGGGAATTCCCACCATCCATCAGGCTCCGGCGTTGTGGCGTTTCTCCGACAAGAACAAGACCTCAAGAGCCAGCGCAATGGAAGACCTCAACATGCTCGTGTGGAAATAGAAACCTGGAAGTGCCAAAAAAAACGACGGCTTTGTTGAGATGAGTTCTCTATTCTAAATTGTGATGTTTCGAGATTCCACATGAGTTTTACTGGGTTTTTTGGGGTACCAAGGTCTTCCGAAAAGGAAGGGGACACTCAAAATAGCCATGGGATACCATCTGGGTCCTTCGGGATCATTGGTGCTGGATATATCAACCACCAGTCGCGGATATATCCATAGCTTTGGCCATACAATCCCCCCAAGTTTGTAGTTAAATCAACATTGGTTTTGTTTCATGGTTCAATAAATCCCAGTTGTTGGTTAAATCAACATTGGTCAAATACAAATCTATTCCCCCTCTTGCTGGTCTTATCAGAATATATATATATACCCATAAAAAGATGATGCTGGAAATCGCGGTTGCAGAGGTAACCATATGACCGGACCATGCCACATCATTCCTTGCAACCGGATGTGCATTCCAGTCACTTGGGGTGAAATCAAATATCATTATAGCAAGCCTGCCCCCCGGAAAACAAAAAAACTGACTGACAAAGTAATTAATAGATATATGTACATCAATATTGAAATATACATATATATATATATACATATATTTATTATTGTCATTATTCTTATTACTATTATTATTTTTAATTATTATTATTATCATTATATATATATACATGTACATACACATTATGTTTCTATACCCATCAAAATCAACCCAACTGCTCCGTTGCTCTGGCAACGTAGCGCTGAGGAAGCGACACCATCCCCTCGTTGCATCGGGTGCTCCACACGCTCGTTGCCATTGAAGGTGCTGAAGGCGCCTCCCCTGAAATCTTCTGACCTCGGCACTTAGGAACGGGTCATATGATTTGATATACCCTCTGGTAATTTAACATAGCTATTGAAAATGGCCATTGAAATAGTGGATTTTCCCATTGATAGCATGGTGATTTTCCATAGTTATGTTAGTTTACCAGAGGGTATATAATGATTGTGATGTGTAAGAACATACGTATATATATATATATATGTGTGTGTTAAAAAGGAAATCTCAACAAAAAAAAAAACATGAAGTCATGTGGTATGTTGCGCCGGTCCGCGCCTCGAGAGGAGGACAGAGATGGTCAGCAAGGAGCTATCGTCCTACAGGGAGGCTCGGTTCCCTTAAAGTTTCTGTGGAAAACCGCCAAAGTTCCCAAGGAATTCCAAGGTTTCTTTCTATCTGAGCCAAGAGTTTACATACATGTACTGAATCATATACTGAATCATTATCATAGTGTCTTTGCAGAAGAAACCACTGATTTTCTGGCTTCAATGAAGAGTTTTCGTTTCATCTCCAGTTCACTGAAGCTAACATAATAATCTGATAATGTACAGTAGTTATTTTTTGATAATGCTATAGTGTGAAGCGTAAATGGGTGGAAAAAATGATGTTTCTCCGCTTCCGTTCCTCAGAGTGATTCGTATAGTCATAATTTCTGTTGCAAGTTGGGGTGAAAAGGTGACGTTGGTTGCAATTGATGTTGGAAAAATGCCAGAATTTCCAATCAAACTCATCAATCCAAGGGATGCTACCATCCCCATCCCAATCATCCCCACCAAGACCGTTTCCGATGAAGATTGAATTGATGTCCCTACATCGCCTACATCCTCATCCATGGTACATCTCTTCCCTTGATTTCCCATATCTTCCCCGCGTGTCCCGGTGTTCAGGATCCATGACAGAGCCGCCATCAGTGTAGGCGTGGTACCTGCGGTCCATCTGCAGAAAACGGCTCACCGGGATCCCACCGGTCAACCGGTCGCCGACCCCGCTGGGGAGTCCGGCTCCAAACTCCTCAAGGCGACACTTCGGTGCGAAAGGAGGCCCCAACCTGAGGCGAAAGGGTCAACATAGCCTCTGGCCATGGATAATCCCCAGCCATGGAGGGTTGCCATGGGGAAGATCTTCAATGGGAGATTTTCCAGCCATGTTTAGTTGCCAGACATTTCTGTGGTCTTCTTTTTTGCAATGCCAAGTGGATTTCAGTAGAGGTCCCAGCAACCCTTGAGGCTCCAGACGAGTAGCATCCTCGGACCTTCAACGCATTGAATTGGATTAGATAGATTCTCAGGCCCCTGTTCTCACCAAAAAAGCCTGGTGTAAGCCCTCTGCAAGGAACCCCCCCTACAATCAACTTGAGTAAATGATAGCAGAGCGCCCATCGAAACCACCACTCGACCCTGTTGTATTGAAATCCTATGTCTTGCAAACATGAATCGTGTGGCTTTGTCCAGAGTAGGTATACACCAAAATCCAATCTTGCCATTTTTGGCGGTAATACGGTGTAACAAATTTTTGGCAAGACCCATAGCTCACATGATTGGTTCTGTATCCCATGAAATATCCCACTATATCCCCAGAAATCATCCCATATCATCATTCCCGCCCTGTGTCTTCGCGCCTTATCAAGGACAGCAACTGCCCTTCGAGATCTTTCAGAAACTGCCGATCCGTCTCAGAAAGGCGACGGCCAACCTCATTGACGGCACAAACACACCGGAAGTGACAAGACATCGACCTGGGAACCAGCCATACATGTTTATCAATGTCAAGGAAATGGAAATGGGTTATGAAATCTTATGTAAAAAAGAACTTATAAAACACTTGAAATATCTTGAAATGCCAATAATCGAAGTTATTGATGCGATACACCAATCACCAGGGGGATCTGGTCTTTTTCGCCCAACGTCTCAGAATCTGAGGGAAAACTCCCCATGTCTTCCCTCAAAGACCCTACCAGTTCAAGTAATGTTAGTAAAGCAATAGGATCCACCATCCCCAATTTTACCACAAATGGGTTGGATGAACCATTGAAAAATGGTTTACCGTGTTTACTATTGCTTTACTAACATGATGGATCTTTAGACCCCCAATCAGCAGGGCGATCCAATTTTTAATGAGGTTACCCTCGACTGGCTGTTGAAAAATGGGTGTGTCTGAAAATGGACCCAAAAATCCACAGGTTGATCGGTTGATGATCCTTTTTCCTAGCCATTTTATAGGTGTACCGAAAAAAATGGTGATGTATCCCATTACATCCCGCAAATAATCCCTATAATATTGGTGACCGATGTTCGCGGGCAAGCCGCTTACCGCCCCGTTCTGAAAAACTGGATTGCCATGGACCCATCACAAGCCCCGCATACGTATCATACGTGTGCCGAGACACGTCCAGAGAATGAAGATAAAGCACCCGGTGCTGTTCTAGGCGATGCAACGCAGCTTCAGCAGCTTTGTGGAAGCCCGCCTGCAGCAAAAATATGGGCTTCGCGAGAAATCATCTAACATGTGAAACAGCAAAACAACCAAAACTTCAAAAGAAAAAGTCTACTTGTCATACTTGTGATCTAAATGATCTCTGTTAATCTACTTATTCTACTTAAGTAATCCTTTCTTAAATGATTTGTTTTCAAACATTTCTTGGAAAAAAAAGGGATTGACTGCCCCCAAATATGATGCCTCCGAAGTAGCGAAGAGATCCACGCCCTCTTCATCTCCAGCATCCTCCGCCAGCAGCACTCGGCCGAGCTCATCCAATCGTTGCACATCGGCCTGGGGCAGATCACCCCCACGGATCGAAACTGGTGATTTGAAACCCAGCTTATGAGCCCAAAAATCCGGGGAAAACCATGGGAAAACCCATTGAACTGGGGCAACTAACCCAAAAAAATCAATACAAAATCGTTGTGATTCTTGGGATGATCCACAAAAAGGTAAGTGTCCAACCCGTTTCCAGCCGTCACGGATTTTGTGATGTGGGGCACAGGAAAATATCTCACACAATACGAGGGAAGACAAGTGCAAAGGCCCCAAGTTGAATAAAGTCTTGGTAACTGTTCTTATCTGTACCGGTAAATGATACTGCCAGTATACATACATATTTATAAACATATATATATATATATACATATACATACATACATTACATTATACACATTACATACATACATAATACAACAACACAACATATATACCATGACATACATACAATACATATACATACATAATACCATACATACCATACATACATACATACCATACATACCCATACATACCATACATACATACATACATACCATACATACCATACATACCATACATACCATACATACCATACATACCATACATACCATACATACCATACATACCATACATACCATACATACCATACATATACATACCATACATACCATACATACCATACATACCATACATACATACCATACATACCACATACCATACATACATACATACCATACATACCATACATACCATACATACCATACATACCATACATACCATACATACCATACATACCATACATACCATAAATACCATACATACCATACATACCATACATACCATACATACCATACATACCATACATACCATACATACCATACATACCATACATACCATACATACCATACATACCATACATACCATACATACCATACATACCATACATACCATACATACCAACATACCATACATACCATACATACCATACATACCATACATACCATACATACCATACATACCATACATACCATACATACCATACATACCATACATACCATACATACATGCCATACATGCCATAACATCGCCATACATGCCATACATGCCATACATGCCATACATGCATTACATGCCATACATGGCCCATACATGCCATACATGCCATACATACATGCCATACATACATGCCATACATACATGCCATACATACATGCCATACATACATGCCATACATACATGCCATACATCCATGCCATACATACATGCCATACATACATGCCATACATACATACATGCATACATGCATACATGCATACATGCGGACATGCATACATGCATACATGCATACATGCATACATGCATACATGCATGCATGCATACATGCATACATGCCATACATACATACATACATACATACATACATACATACATACATACATACATACATACATACATACATACATACATACATACATACCATACATACATACATACATACATACATACATACAGTCATACATACATACATACAATACCATACATACCATACATGCCATACCATGCCATACATGCCATACATGCCATACATGCCATACATGCCATACATGCCATACATGCCATACATGCCATACATGCCATACATGCCATACATGCCATACATACCATACATACATACATACATACATACATACATACATACATACATACATACATTAATACATTACATACATTACATACATTACATACATTACATTACATTACATTACATTACATTACATTACATTACATTACATACATACATACATTAGCTATAAACATATTATATATATATATATATAAATGTACTCTGAATTATATATATATATATAAATGTACTCTGAATTATATATATATATAATTGTATGTATATTAATATTTGTTTCTCCAAATCCCTGCGGCACCTCTGGCAATGCCCGCAGCAGCGCTGCCTCCGTGGCTTCGGCTTCGCAGCGCAGCAGCTGCAGCGGCTTCGACGAAGCGCTCCAGGTGGAGATCTCCTGGGACCACAACGGGGACTGAGATGACGGGGATGGGTTCCGCCTGGGAAATGTTGGTCAAAGATATGATGTGTATATTATGTTTATATACATATTTACGTATATATATATACATATTTATATATATACACAGTATATATATTATATATGTATATCTTGATTTAGAGTGTATATGTATATGAATATAATGAGATCATAGTGTGTATGATAATTAAAATATGTATAGTAGAGTGTATGTATGCAATAGTGTGTATATATTGTCTTTCATGGCTAGCTGTGGGCCAGTGTCATGTGCAGACGCATGCTATAGTTTCCCCATTGGAAATTGGGTGTTACAAGTAGATGCGTTTTTTACTGCGACTCTCACACCAGTTTTGGCACAGGCACTGGTGAAAAATGTGGATTGTTGTCATATAGAATGCCTCGCCCAATTGAACCCATCCTTTGTGGTTTTAAATTTCAAATATTAAATCTGCACAAATCGGAAGAACGAAATAAGATATAGCACGATTTGCACATCACATTTCGTTCAGTTCCACTGCTTAAAACTTCGCTTGACACCAACTTTAGACCACTTTCGTGCAGGGCGCTCCTCTCCAAAAGGCGGAACTACAAAGACACCCCATCCTTAGGACTCAGCATCAAGCCGTAATTTTCCAAAAACTGGTTGAACGGAGATCAAATGATTCAAATGCACGCTTGGTTGGTGGGCAGTGGTACAAAATGGTACAAAGATATGAGAACAGCAAGTTGAACACAAACACCCTCTGGCTATTTAACATAGCCATGGAAAATTGCCCATTTATATATAGATGATGTTCCCATTAAAACCTCCATTTATAATGGATTTTCCATGGTTATGTTAAATGGTAGGGAGCAAGAGAGAAAAACCATCTGATCTGGTGCAAGATGTCAGTACTGGAGCTGTTGTCCCAGCATGTCCCAGCGGCGCTCCAGATCGCGACAGACGGGCCAGCACAATTCATTGGTGTCCGCAAAGAGTGCCTTAGATTCTGAGGCCATATCCATTAAAGAAAAAAAAAACATAAAAATAGCAAGCGCCGAATGTCTATCAGGATTATTTGATATTATTTGGATAGCCTCTGGTAAACTAACGCTTTGCGAACTGGAAAATCACTCTTTTTAACAGGTGAATCAACTATAAATGGGTTATGGCTTTCATAGCAGCCTGTCAAGTTACCAGAGGGTAGCCGTCACATCGATTATGAATGCAAAGAAACTGGACATCAAGCGACTTCACTGCTACAAAAATGAACACTCATCTGAAATCCCTAGAAAATCTTGAGAAAAAGAAAAAAACGTCATAAAACATCCATTCTGTTCGGGAACTCCGGAGTTCGGGAACTCATTCGATCAAGCCCAAGGCGGAACGCCCGTCTACACGGTACTCTCCGAGTCACATCCGCTTCCATGAAGTCCACCGCGGAGTCCAAGGACCTGGCGGTTGAGCTCCGTAGGTTTTGATGGAGTTTATTGATGTATAGTTACGGCATAGATCAGCATAGTATATGACAATCATGAATATAAGTAGTTTATTATATATATATATACATATTATGGCATGTTGTAGTTTACACTGATTATGTATGATCCGTATGGTGATCCAGTTATATAGATTGTCTTACAGTTTACACTGATTCATGCCGCCAAGGCACTCAACGCAGGTTACCACCCGAAGACCACGAGACGAACCCTGTTGCCACTCCTGCGGCGCCAAAACAACAAACATATGGGGTATTGTCATTCAATAACTATGAAGGATTCCCTGGAAAATGAACACTTAAACCTTCATGACTCGAATTTATGACTACCATCATTCCTAACGACTAGGCTTCAACCCTTCTGGTAGGAAATTCCTGTGTGCGGTGGCAAAGCTGGGAGGAAGAAGGCATCCGATTCATCCAATCTAGTTGATACATTTCTGTCCAAGCTGTCCACTTAAATTTCAGGACTATCTATTCATATCATTATCAATTCAAGACCGAACCGAATTGTGAAATTGTGAAACTGTGAAATGGTTGTTCCCTTGTTGGCATTTTTGTCCTTGAAAGTCTCATGTTTTGCTGGCTTAAGATTCATTCATAGCCATTCATGCCGAAGATATCCTCTTTTCTGTCGGTTAGATTCCTTTTTCAACTATCATCAACTATCCATATGTTGTTGCCGAAGCCCCTATTTTCGGCTGCTTCAACAAAACCCCATGTTTTTTGCGCCCCAGCTTTTTCACTTGAACCAAACATGTGGACCCAACAAGCATGCAATTGGACATGCGAAGCCCCAAAAAATGGTTCATGTTCAGTCTCCCAAGTCCCCACGCCTGGTGGAGCCATTTCGCCAGCCGCACCAAGCCATGCGCCGTCAAAAACGCCAAGGCCACAGTCGCCGGTGGTAGAGCCAAGGCACCGGCTAAGGTGCCCTGGTGGAGCCAGGACGTGAGGTGAAGAATGGCGGTTGGAAATGGTAATTTGTATGGGATTTATGATGATTTATAATGATAGAGGGATTTCATAGGGGATAAAAGTCATCTACAAATGGGATGAACTATGGTATTTAGAAATATGGGTAAAACAATGTCATAAACCAACTTGTGAATGGTAACACCACCTCTGTCGATTTGGGGGATGGTTCATTATTGGTTTATCCACATTATGATTTATTGGAAAATACCATGGAAAAAATGGAGAAAAAGCGCTGATTTGGTTGGATTCTATGAAGATCTAATGGCTCATTTTATCGGGATAGAATGGGATTATAACCAAAAATCATGACCCGGTTGAGAAACAATTAATGTTGGTTTTACTGTTGATATATTGGAATATACTGGCTGTATAACCTGTAAAAATGGAGGACGGCTTTCTGGAAAAATGTGGGTTGATGGGTTTCATTTCTCAAGTGCTTTATTTAATTCTAAAGTTGCATTTTAGAGTCTAGAGTTTACCTTTACATTTTGGCAATCTTTATTGGTGGCTTGGGGAACAAGGTGGATATGGATCAAAACTGATTTGCTACCAAGGCAGGAGCGGTCATAAGCTCAAAATCTCTGCCCTCAGCTCCAACTAGTTTTTAGAACTTGAAAGAACTTAGAATACAAGTTTAAAAAAACAGTTATTAAACACAGAAGGATTTCAACATATTCAATAAGCCGTACAGTAAGTCCTAACATGGCCTCTGTCAAATATATAATAGTCTTATTCAATCTTAAGCCAAAAAAATCAATCCCAGTATTTAACATAGCTATGGAAGCCATGGCCCATTTTACTTCAATGATTTATCTGTTAAAAATGGTGATTTCCATCGCTACCAGGCCTGAGGCAGCTGCAGCATGTCACATCTCACCCAGGAGCACAGCTGCTCGACACCAGCTTCGGCGGCCCGCGCACGTGCCAGGTCGATGCACCTCAAGTGGATTCCTGGATGGTTGCGAAATCCTGCACCACTTGGCAACCCTTCAGGTACCCGGCCTGGTAAACATACAAAAACTATAGAAAATCACCATTTTTTTATAGGTAAATCAACTATAAATGGCAATTTTCAATAGCTATGTGAAATTACCAGAGTGTAGCTGTGAAACACTGGCACAATAATGGGATTGTAAGGGGATAAGCATATACCAACTGATGCAGGATTTTGCAACAATCCACAGTATTTCGTATTAATGATATGTTCATTCTCCATGAAAGGGGTATCTACTTAGAAGGTTTTGCACGTGTGTCATATTTACAATTTAGTATACATTGTTCCGCCGTTCCCATATTGTGTTGCGTGAATATCCCATTATATATATATATATCAAATTATATCCCGTGTATTTCCAATATATTTACTATTTTATATATATATATATATATGTGGTACTCCCCAAAAAAAATTAAAGGTTATTTGAAATATATGTGTTATACAATATATATATATATATGTTATTCCCAATCTCTTCCCAGAAAAGTTGCTTTTATGTGTGGTGGGCATGCCTTTCTCAAATCTTTGACTCTAACTTTTGGTGCAATGAAAAAATATATTCCCAAAAGTACATAATATACATATATAATATTTTATATTATATACATATATATATATTATATTATATATATTATATTACATATATATATATTATTATATTATATTATTTTATTTTATTTTTTCATTATTTGTTTATATTATTTAAAATTATATTATATTATATTATATTATATTATATTATTTTATTTTATTTTATTATTTGTTTATATTATATTATGTTATTTTACTATTTTTTATATTAGATTATATTATTTTACTATTTTTTATAATTATTATATTATATTATATTATATTATATTATATTAAATTATAATATATTATATTTTATTATATTATATTATATTATAATAGATTATATTATATTATATTATAATATATTTATATTTTATTATATTATATTATAATAGATTAGATGATATTATATTATATTATATTCTATTATATTATATTCTATTATATTATATTATATATACACATGTGATTCCCATCTATCTTCCCATCTGTCTTCCCAAGATCTTCCCAAAAATTGCTCCAAAACCATGGCGAAACCCACCATTTTTGACGGAGCGACGGTTGATCGATGTCCAGTCCCACACAGCGGCAGCCGCAGCGCTTGGCGGCTTCGATCAGCACCACGCCGTCGCCGCAGCCCAGGTCCCAGAGAACATCCTGCGGACGATGGGAAATCCATGGGAAATCCATGGGAAAAATCCAAATGTGTGGGAAAATTGATGGGAAACTCATGCGAGATCTATGGGAAATTTGAAGTTTTTTGGGAACATTGATGGAAAATTCAATGTCAAAACAGGATAAAACCAACAAATCTGTGAAAATTGATGGGGAATTAATTGATGGGGAATACACATCCATTTTCGGGGATATAGTCGGATAATGTCGGATATATTAACCATCAATACTTACTGCAAGAGAAAACACATTTGGGGGATGTACCAAACAAAATGGAGAATAGTGAGGTTTTTCTTGGTAGAATCTCCGTTTCAAGCGATTAAAGCCACATTTGTCTTTGTAAAATCAATTTTGCAGCATGTTTCGTGGTTTGATATGGTTAAATCACAATGTTATCAATGTTCTTCATAGTAAAATCCCCGTGTTCAATCATTTTTCATGGTTAAATCGGATAAATCCCCGTTTTCCTTCATTTTTTCATAGTTCAGTGTCCATTTTCCCCTCATGTCATGGTTCACACACCATCCCTGGCACAAAAAAAAGGCAGGTCCCAGGCCAAGGCTCCTCGGGTCCCAGGCGCGCCGCTTGCAAAATGTAGGGAATCCGCGAGGCAGCGCAGGGCACGAAGGGGGACACCGAGAGCGGCCCAGCGGCGCTGTCCTAAGGCGATTCATATGGGATTAGTAATGGTTTGCCATCTGGTTATGACAGTTTGCCATGGAAAATCACCATGCTTTTAATAGGTAAACCATCTATTTCTATGGGCCATTTATACCATGGCTATGTTAAATAACTAGAGGGTATATAATAGCGAATGGTAAGCAAAATTAGCCCTTGTTTGAATGGTTATATAATAGCTAATGAGAATGAATGAGCCCTTTTTGGGCTATTTCTTTGCAGAACATATGGGGAAAACCGAAAACCTATTGAGAATTGTATATATGTTGTTATATTGTGTTATCAAACATGCAGAATTATGATGACTGAAGTTGGAAACAACATGACTTCCAGGCCCCCATTTTTGGGGGGAGTTCCTGGTGATGTTTCGAAATGTTAATAAATCTATAAATTCAATTGATAGGTATTCAATTGGATGTTCTTCTGTTTCACTGGGTCAGCACCCAATCCTGAGGACAAACGTTGCGTTTTGTCTGGAAAAACTGGGCCAGGAAAACCAGCAAAAGGTATTTCAGTCCTCCGCATCTGCGAGCTTCTCCAGTTCCTCCTTTCGCGACAGCACATACCTCACAGCGTAGGATACGTTGGGATCCACAGGTGGATTGGTGAGCGAACCAACCAAGATTGCGAAACAAAGTCGGCTGCGAACAATCAAACGGAATCCATCTGATTACATGAATTTCAATGTCGGGAAACAAGCAAACTGATTTCGAATCATCTACTGGGTATGGTGATCCCACTTCAAACGGCATGTTTTTTTTCTGGAACGGCCCCTATATTCAGGATAAACGGATAGGTCACAATAATTGGAGACGCCGAAGCTCCCCCCACATTTCCTACTTGGATAAGAAAATCCAGGTTCTGAACATAGCTAATCTATGCTAATCTATCATTATGTATCTCCATTCAAACTACGGGAAAAGAAAACATCAAACTACCCTTCACCCAGGTTGACCAAGGCGCTTCTTCAGCAAGGCTGTTTGTTCATCTTCACAAGCATCCACCATGGAACGCAGTACGGCGAGTTAGCTCATCTTCGGTCCAATTTATTGGTTGAAACACCCTCCACGGTCACAGTGATTGGCTGATCATGTTTGAGCACTGACCTTGTAAGTTTTGTAATGGATTGATTCAAACTAAAATCTGCAGGAAACAGGGTAGAACTACCCCTCAAACCAACAAAATGGGACCCATTGCTCGGATGGACAAAATGCATAAAGGGGGTTGGATCAAAATTGTCCCCGTGAAAACATGGTTTTGTTGTAATGTGAAACCAAAACTCACCAAGAATCATGGTTCCCTAAGATTCCCTTGAATATTGACCCGTGCCCAAATGAACTTTCGCGCTAAGGAGTTGAAATCCAAGAGTGAAAAGTATGAAAAGTGCTGCTGTTGTGACGGATTGAAAGGGTCATTTTGAGGAAAAGCTGCGGACAGGTCACTTCCTAAGTCTCATCTTGACATGGCGCCTCGGGGCCTGAAAAGATTTATCCAAACATGTTGCATCAAAAAGATCAACCGCAGCTGGAAACGCAGAAGTCATTGCTCTTCCATCACTGATCATTCCATGAATTTCAGAGGCTGAAAAATAGTCTGTCCTTCGTCACCTGATCCTGGAGATACAAACTAAACGTACCCTGTGGCAACTTAAAATAACAATGGAAAATCCACCGCTGATTTACTTGCTAAACATGCTGTTGTCCATAGCTATCTTAAATTGACAGAGATTAAACCCATATCATGCCATATCCCATTATTCATCACTATCAATAGCTATGACCCAGGAATTCAGAAAACTGTCATTGTCAATTCTATCAATAGTTATGACATGGGCACGGGTTTAAGTGGCATGGAGGGGGGCCAGAGCCAATTTCAATTATGGACGGGGGGGTCCTTGATTTCATTTACAGTTTCACTGATAATCTTTGTGGACCATGGTCACACCGATGCTTTGTCAACTAACCAATAGTAGGGATATAACCAACCAGCAATAAGGATATGATAAACTTGAGAAACCAGCGCAGCGCGCTCAGATTCGATTTAGATTGGGAAGTTCAAACATCATAATTATACCATCAAGCAATCGTGAGATGATCCATCGTACAATCCAAAAGGTGATCCATCATATGATCCATCATCGTATAGTCCTTCGTTAGTCTTCATTAAATATCAATCAATATATGTAAATAAATAAATAAATATATATATATATATACATTTTCATGATGGTCATATCCAAGTATCCATTACGTGATTATACTTGATTGCCCTAGTTTTGTGTCCGTGCTGTCAGCCATTACACCAGGCACAGGCATATCCATACCATATTTGAAAAGCAGCCGTCAAAACATGTTGCTCCGTGGCTCCTGAGAATTTCAGGCGGACTGTGAAACCCGGAATCGTTGCATCTAATTCTGCAAGCTGACCTCAAGATATCTCAAGCAAACCCAATTGGGTCAAGGAGGATTCGAAGCCTCACCCTCTACAGCGAAGTATTCCAATGGCTGTCAATGGCTATTAACCTATCCAGCACATCAAGGCATGGACGGTTCGAATGCACTGACTATAAAACAAGAACAATACTCAAACATACTAAAATCACCTAAAAAAATCCTAAAACCCCCAAAAGTCTGAAGATGTCTGAAGTGTAGGCCTTATGCAAGGCATTGCAGGCTGATATCCTGACCAGTTTCACAATCTTTCACATAGAGATGTGGGGTATATGTATGGGTAATAACATGATGCAACATGCACTCAAACCGACTTGACTTGACATTGAACCACAAGTCTTTCACAGCCCTCACTGGCGTGATAGCACTGAGGCTGGTCTAACACCTTGGCTGACGACAAGCCAAGAGCCCCTAGGGAACTGCAGATTTGGTAATTTCTAGTATCATCATGCTTTCATGTATGATAAACTTGAGAAACCAGCGCAGCGCGCTCAGATTCGATTTAGATTGGGAAGTTCAAACATCATAATTATACCATCAAGCAATCGTGAGATGATCCATGGTACAATCCAAAAGGTGATCCATCATATGATCCATCATCGTATAATCCTTCGTTAGTCTTCATTAAATATCAATCAATATATGTAAATAAATAAATAAATAAATAAATATATATATATATATACATTTTCATGATGGTCATATCCAAGTATCCATTACGTGATTATACTTGATTGCCCTAGTTTTGTGTCCGTGCTGTCAGCCATTACACCAGGCACAGGCTCATTCTTCCAGAATCCACTTTAAATTTGAACCGCTGTACTCCAAGAGATGCCTAGCAACCCGCCTGTTGGAGGCGCTAATGCGGGCATATGCGGGCTATGAAGCACCTTGCACGAAGTCCAGGGATGATCAGAGGTTAGGTGTGGAAGGTTACGCCCTGGCAAAGGAGGTGATTTGAATGGTTGCGTCATCAAATTATCAACAGTCTATGATGCTTGTTGATGCTGTTTTGGTGATGATGGATGGTTGATTCTTGTTCATGGCTGTTGATCTTGATCAATGGTTCTTCGTAATGGATTACCCGTTGATGAACGGTCAAAGTAAAGCCTCCTCACTGGAAACTTGCATGGACCTGAAAATGCATACCTCCAGCTGTGTTTCCTTTAGCTAGCCATTTTGGGATACATGTTAATTTTTCAGCGGCGCAGTCGTAAAAAAAAAAAACGACCATGGTGGGCCGTTGCAAACTGATTGATTTGGAAGCAGTGGTTCCTGACAGTTGACTCAACCCCATAAGATCTACTCGTGTTGGGTGACTTTTTCTCACCGCAATGTACCATTTATTGTTGGGAAAAAGTCGCCTTATGTCGCCTTAAAAAAGCTGGTATCATATTCATCGGATGCTCGGCATGGACCCATCATTCTATTATATTATATCCCTATTACTGGTTGTAGTAACCATTATTGTTGGTTATATCAACCACTATGGTTGCGGGTGCCCCTATTTATCATCCATGATACCCCTATTATTAGCGGTTATATCCCATTATTGTTGGTAATTCACTATCAGAAACCATTGGTTTGGGGGTGCCCCTATTTATCATCCATGATATCCCTATTATTAATGGTTATATCCCATTATTGTTGGTTATTAGGCGTTGCTGTCACTTTCGCACTCACACTCCACACTTCACACTTCACACTTCGCACTTCACAGTCCACACTTCACACTTCCACACTTCCCACTGCTTCCTTCACACTCCAAACCTCACACTTCACACTTCACACTGCGCGCTTCGCACTCCAAACTTAAACTTCACACTCCACACTTCTACTGCTTCCTTCACACTTCACACTTCACACTGCACTCTTGACGCCCCGCACTTCACACTGCTCTAAACCTAAGTGCAACCAAAAAAACACTAGTGCCAAAATGGAGAAAATCTGCTAACAAATCCATTTCGCAGCCTTCATGCAGCCACTCCAAGACGATTTACGAGATCCAGCTGCAAAAGACAATAGTATTACCAATGCAGCCACAGCACGAAGCAACCTTGACGCAGGCATTACAATGCGATCTGCAGAGACTGAGTTGCAAAACGCAATAGAACTACGCGCAACGGCGTCGGAAATTGTAGCTCCAAAACCGGATCTCGACGTCAGAGCGAAAAAAAGACGATTTTGAAGCACTTTTTAAAAGGATTTTTAGGAGGAAAATCACTGGCGCCAAAATGGAGAAAATCTGCTGACAAATCACTGTGGCAGCCTTCATGCAGCCACTCCAATACGATTTACGAAGTCCAGCTGCAAAAGACACTAGTATTACGAATGCAGCCACAGCACGAAGCAACCTTGACGCAGCCATTTACTCTGCGGGAACGATCCTACAGCTGCAAAGCACAATGGAAAGGTACATAACGATCCTACGAAGCAACCTTGACGCTGCAAAGCACGGCAGATCTGAGCGCGTGCTAGGGTTTGCAAAGAAAACATGAGGCAGAGACAAGTTTGGACTGTTCCAATGATCCTTAGAAGTCAAGACTTGCTTTTGGGCTTGTTTGCTTTTCGTGAAACTCTAACGCGCGCTCGGCGCGCGCTCTTCGCGCGCTGGTGGCAGTTTGAGGTTTGTGGACGAGCGCGCCGAGCGCGCGTTGGAATTTGTGAAAAGCACAAGATCAACAGCAAGTCACATTCTAACCGTCCTTCAAAGGATCCCTGGAACATTTTCTGTATGCAAAAAATGTCAAAAGCAAGCTTAAGGGTTTTTTGGGTTTAGGGTTTGTGGTCGAGCGCGCCGAGCGCGCGTTGTTTGTTTTGGCCGAGCGCACTGCGCGCGTGCTAGGGTTTGTAGAAGAAAGCATGAGGCAGAGACAAGTTTATGCAATGATCCTTAGAAGTGAAGACTTGCTTTTGGGCTTGTTTGCTTTTCGTGAAACTCTAACGCGCGCTCGGCGCGCGCTCGTGGCAGTTTGAGGTTTGTGGACGAGCGCGCCGAGCGCGCGTTGGAATTTGTGAAAAGCACAAGATCAACAGCAAGTCACATTCTAACCTTCAAAGGATCTCCGGAACATTCTCCGTATGCAAAAAATGTGCAGAAGCAAGCTTAAGGGTTTTTGGGGTTTAGGGTTTGTGGTCGAGCGCGCCGAGCGAGCGGGTTTGTTTTGGCCGAGCGCGCTGAGCGCGTTAGGGTTTGCGCGAAGAAAACCATGAGGCAGAGACAAGTTTGGACTGTTCCAATGATCCTTTGAAGTGAAGACTTGCTTTTGGGCTTGTTTGCTTTTCTGTGAAACTCTAACGCGCGCTCGGCGCGCGCTCGTGGCAGTTTGAGGTTTGTGGACGATCGCGCCGAGCGCGCGTTGGAATTTGTGAAAAGCAAGATCAACAGCAAGTCACATTCTAACCTTCAAAGGATCTCCGGAACATTCTCCGTATGCAAAAAATGTGCAAAAGCAAGCTTAAGGGTTTTTGGTGTAGGGTTTGTGGTCCAGCGCCGAGCGCGCGTCAGGGTTTGTTTTGGCCGAGCGCGCTGAGTGCGTGCTAGATTTGTAAAAAAG